CAAACGCTAGACGCATTCTTTAATTTTCTAGAATAAGTTAGATTTCTATTATAATGTCTTATGATTCAAAAAAATATTTTATTGAATTTCGGTCAAATCTATCGACAGAATTCAAAATATCAAACAAATAATAATATTTATTAATAGAATTTCTAATTAATCGCAATAAAAATTAAATCTTCGTATTTATATCTAAATTTTTCATATTAGAAATTTTTTTAATAGAGAATATACATTTAAATAAAAAAATCATAAAATTTAAAATAAATAATCATTTAATTCCATATATATAATAGATGAGAATATTAGTATAAGAATATTTTAATATATATTCTAAATTGTTTTCATTGTTATTATTATATGGCAACAAAATATTTTACCCTAGACAATTAATCAGAAAATAGAAAGAGAATCACACACAAATCGAGATATAAAAATATATCATCGATACCTACATTCAGAGAGAACGGCGTCGGAACTCGTGCTAACAAGATCCTAAGGCATTTCTTATTAAGCATATCTTATGTACCTATCAATATATTTCTTCTTACAACTAACCCTCGTAGCTATTTTACGAACGACTCTAAAATCAGATATATTTCCTGTTAAAACCCTTATTTTTACTGTCAAAATTCAGAAAAAAAACTAAAAATAACGAGATGTGCTAAAAAAAATGAAATTTATACAAATTTCGATATCATATTTTCCGAAAAGTATTATCACGAAATAAATATATTTTTCCGACAAAAATATATAAAAAGAAAAACTTTCAAAAACCAAGCTCACAAATAAAGAAAAATATCCAAAACAACCTCATTAGAAATTAAAATATTCATTATATTATACGATAATCGCTCCAATTCACTAATATTATTATTATTATTCCCCATATCAATTTTTTTCATCTACTCATAACATTATATTTCTTTGCCCCGAATTTATTTCTTCGAATCGCCTAGTTATACCGCCTTTTACAAATTCTCCCTCTCTACGACACAATGTTCGAACCACCCTCCCATCTGCCCGTATTCAAACACATCCCTCTTCATTTCCCTTCCTAGCCGCCATTCCACGATCCTCCCCATCCCCACGAATCCCCAAACCCTCCACTCAACCTCGCTCCCCACTCCACGTCAATCTGCCTCGTCCCCCCCCTATTCATACCTCGCCACTACATTTTCCTCGAGCCCTCGCCCACCCCTCCCGACACTCACGCCCTCGCCCCCATAACCCAAAGACCATTGTCCACCGATACGCCCTCACCCATCGTTCCACGATACTCGACCCCAACGACGCGCCCACCACTCCCCCCGACACGCATTGACATACCCTCTCCCCACTCCACAACACTCCCTCCGAGCCGCTCTCGCCCGCCACTCCATGGCCACGATGCATGCGCCCCCGAGACATATATGTATATATACATATATATATACCTTCATCCACCCACCCTCCCATAACACACCCTTACACGCCCTCGCCCGCCATTCTACGATACTCACGCCCTTACCCACATCTTTCATTTCCACATCTTCCGGTCTGTAGCTACGATATCTAATCGGACCATATCATGGTATGACAAATACTTTAAATCCTCAAAATACCTAACCATACTTGCAAAGTACATATCTAGCGTCCAATCATTCATTATAATATTAAGTATCGATAAGTCTATTAGAAGAAATTCTCGAACTATGAACCAATGTTTTTCATAAGCATCTCTTTTGTATGTTAGTTATCTATCATAGTATTCTTCCCTAAAATTACTATGATAGATAACCTAAGCTTTCTAACATTTTATATAATCTCTTTCAGAAGAACAATGTCTTTTAAACTATCTTCATTCTAATTCAGACACCCCGTATCATAAGGATTAGATAAACTTTTCATGACTACATTGAATTATCTTCAGATTTATCTATCGTGAAAGAAAAATTTGCAAAAAAGTTATATCAACATCAAGAATTGGTGATTGATAATCTTTATAACTAAAGACTTTCAAGATAAATGTCGTATATTAGAACAAGACTGGGAGATCTTCTTGCCAGATTCTTGAAGAATCTGCCACACAAGGCGCAACAAGGCTTGCCGTTCGGCATGTGCCTTGGTCCATGGGCATTCACTTTAACGATTTCGCGCCAGCAATAGACGAATGGGGAGCGCAACTGACAGAACAGCTAAGGACCGGTCTGCTCTATCATGAGTGAAGAATATTGGCTGCAGGAAAGACTCCTTCCCTTCCTTTCATTGAGAACTGTGGCACATGGCAGCTTTCAGGTTGCCACAGGAAGTCCGCCTGGAAAGAGCCGCTGAGCTCTTCAGAGCCACAGAGGAAGCTTCGAGACCTGCACAGTTCGTGTGCACACGTGTACATGCATTCGCGCATCATCAAAGAAATTTGATTCCGGTCTGTCAAAAAGCTTTGGTCAGAATCACTTCTATGATGGCGCGTTCTTGCAGCCCTGCCATCATCCGTTGCCAGCTGCTGGCACGATTCTCTTGGATAAATCTCGGGTTTTCTAAGCCGAACTAACGGAAAATAGCCCACTGCTTCTCAGCTGCCAAGGCGATGGTCCCAGGGAAGCAAAAGGCATGCGAGTCCAGAGATCATGATAAGCAGTAGCAACGAGCGAAAGGAAGGTACCTTGAGTCCCGGAATCTGCAGGAAAGCAGTGCGAACTTCGTTCCACTTCCGAACCTTCCTGCACTTCTGTCCAAAGGTCATGTACAGCAGCTCTGGTGGGAAGCCATCGTTGTTGATGTGCGTGGTCAAGTCAGCAAGTGCTTCAAGTTCAGAAACAGAGCTTTTCACGGCGTCGAAGGACGTGCGCAGAGCCTTTGGGCTGGTGACACGTCCGCCCTCGCGTGCAACCGTCGACCTCTTCTGCATTGCATCCCAACTTGCAAAGACATGAATGATTGCAATTCGGTATTCGGGATAGGCTTCACGAATCTCTGCAAAAAACGACTGCTGGCGGCTGGCATTCCTCGGTGTCAATGAGTTTGTCGGATTGGAAAGCCTTCAGAACTCTCTATTGGTCTATATTGGCCTGTTTGCTCTGAGCCGTTTAGAGTTTACCCGAGCCAAGCATCCGCAAGGAGCCATCAACCAGTATGTGTCGACCTTGACGCATGGCTTCCCACTGTGCAATAAGAGCGCATGTCCCTGCTTCCCTCTGTGTCATAACGGCAGCTTCCGGGCCGTCTCTGGCGAGATAGCCTGACCACTCGGGAAGCTCTGTTCTTATGAGATCTGGATCTGTTCGCACCACATCATCGAAGGGTAGGTAGCCCTGTTCAAGCATCCAAGACGCCACCCATGATTTTCCGGCGAAGAAAGACCCAGCTGTGAAGACTATCCACGGGTATGGATTTCGCTTGCCGCTTCCAACAACCTTGCTGATGATCTCATCTTGGAGCTGCTGGCGCCTCACGTTATAGCAGCCGTGGTGGTCGAAGTCCAGTTTCTCCCGGATGTCCTTGTAGGGTCCCACCATCAGCCTGCCCTCCACGTGATAGTTGCCAGTCGTCTCCTGTTTCCAGTCATAGCTCTCTGAGACCTGGGCCCCAGGAGAAGAAACTCATCTACTCATGTGATGTCTTCGCTAGCCTCTGCCTGCCGGAGCCCACTGCAACCAAGGCGCCTCCCAAGAGTGCTGCGAAGCCTCGGAAAGACCTGTCTCTGTCTGCATTTGAAACACACGAAGCGCGGTTTGCGCGGATTTCGAAGGAACTGGAACTGCAGAGTCACGCCGCGCCGGAACGAAGCATGCTCTGGTGAAACATTCAGCACTCCATGTTCTTGCTAATTGGATCGAGTGAGGCTGAAGTGTCGGTGCGAAGCATCTGGCTTATGAGCTCTCGACACACTAATGCCAAGAAAGGTAGGACACCAAATCATTTGTCTGAGAAACTCACCACAAGTTGGCCATGGTCTCGCAAGCCGATGCAAAGTCATGTCAGGTCAATGCAGGCACAAGCCAAGCCTTAGAGCGTTTTCAGTAAACTTCCTCCAAAGGTGCCTTGAAGATGGCTCGAAACCGTAGCCTCACCATGAACTCAGTGGAAAAGCCCAATGTGGGAATGCCTCCACCAACAGCACCGAACCTGCCTTGCTTCGCACAGTGGTCCACAGGCCTGGCATCCAGCAAATCTCACCGTGTGCACGAAGGGAATATTGGGCGCTGCTTGTGGACTTGCCCCTTGGTCCCACACAAGAAAAGGTAGGTCGTCCACGCAGTTACAGTTGCCGACGAAGCACCCAGCCTGAACGCAATCTGAGAATCCGCAGGCACGACAGCAGCTTGCGTTCCGGTGTCTCTCTGCTCAGCTATTAAAGTCATCCTTGTTTGGGTGGTCCATGCTCAGCATCTCTTTACAGCTTAGGGATGCACCGTGCGCCTGTCGGGTGCATCGAGCATCTGAAATGTGCGCCGGGAACCTCACACCCCGAGCCGGATGTTGGGCAGCTGCAGCACCCACGCAATTCAGCCGTCGGTAAAGGTGGGAAAGAGGCAGATTTTTGAGCTCTTTGCAGGTGCGTGCTACAGGAGACCAGGGCATCGTGGCAGGGAGCACCTGGGTAGAGCTCAGAAGTTCGGGGAAGACTCCATGACAAACTCCCCCCCCCGGCGGAAGGATGTGGCGGATGCCTGTATCACAGCCAAGGCATCAAACGTGAAGGGTAGCCCGAGGCTGCCGACGGCGGCCAACCTTCAAATCCAATCACAGCGCCAGGTCCAGCCGACCGTCAACACTTGGGGCCCGCACCGATCCGAGGAACCTCAACAGCCATCAGGGAGGTGGATGGAAAGCTGCAGACTCAGCGAATCTCAGCAGCTCACTGTCGCTCCCTTCTGGGAGACTCAACGCAGCAAGGAGTGGCCTCCATTTCTCCAAGGCAAAGAGCAGCTAAGGATCAGATGACTCCAAGTCTTGGGCCGGCAAGCTCGCTTCTGAAAGGCCTCGTCGTCAGAGGTGACTTCTTATTAGCACTCTGTGTCTCTCTGATCGCTTCTGCGGCCCTCAGAGGGCAGCTGTGTATGTTTGCCCTTCCAGGACATCGTACTGGTGCAGCATCTGCACCAGCAGGGACACTGTTTCATCGCTGTGTTGAATCTCTTGACTGGGCACATCCCGATGATCCTGCCACACGTGTCTTGAGCCTTGTTGCCTGTGCAAGCTATCTACGAAAAGGGGCCGTCCCAGCTGCCTCGACAGCCGCCGAGGACTCGCGAATGCCAAGCATGGCCTGAAGACTCAACAATGAAGCAAATTGGAGTGCCCAGCCCAGCACAGGCCCAGCCCAGTGCCTCGTCCGAACTCCGGGATGGTGGGTGAAGCCATTTCGCCATCCGCTCCTTCAGCTCTCCCAGCCTGGCAAAAGAAGCCGAAAGCCCCCTTTGAGTCCAAAGGACTCCAAGCGGCGGCCACGAGGCTTACCAAACTCTCTGAGTGCAGCGGCAGAGCCGCGACCGCAGGCGCCATGGATGGCTCGTCCCGCCCGGCCTTGCTTTGGCCCCCAAATATTGGATTGACGGGAGGGCTGGCGCTATGACCGCTACCTCCAAGGCCATGCCCAGAAATTGCGGCGTGGCCCTGCGACAACAAACAAAAGCCACACAGCCACCCAGCCACCGGCTCGCACTCGAAGGGACCTGAATCCTCCTTGAACCAGGTCTTGAAGTCCAGACACCGCGAGGCGAAAACCTGAGATCAAGGAGACCCTAAGCCCGAAGCAGCTACAGGGACTTCGTAGTCTCCTCTCTTCTTGACATCTCTTGACTAAGCTGCCGACTTCCACCCTGCCCACAGGCGCCCAGCATGACTCCAAATGAAGCCAAGTCCTTTGGCAGCCTCGCTCTGCTATGCTTTGCTTCAGAAAAGCCGATCCCGCACTGGCATTCTGTACTTGGTCTCATGCCCGCGACTGCTGGAGTACTCGACAGCATTCAGCCTCTTGCCACGGCCGCGACTCTCCTAAAGGGCCTAAATCGAATCTCAAAGCTGAGAATGCCACGCTCCTTCCCACTTGCTCACCTTTGGGCAGTCTGCTTTCTCGAAAGTCCGGAGACGAGAGAAGCGTGCCTTCTCCAGAGCCGATGCTGCCGAGTTGTGAGCCTTGATGTCATCCCGAAATGCTCGCCTCAAGCGAGTTCTCGCTCCCGCCAAGCTGAGTCGTTCCCAACGCATGCCGTGCGGCTGCTTCATGTTGTGCAGCATGTGGCAATTGTCCATCCACCGCATCCCCTGCAGTGCACTTCGAGGTGTTGCCGCGGCCAATCTTCTCGCCTAGTCCTGCCTCTTGCAACGTCCGTAGCACGGAGCTGCCTGCCACGGTGTCCGGCCTCGTCACGGAGTCACGATGAGTCACCGAGCAAAACGAGCTGAGCTGTCTGAACTGAGCTGCAGCCTTTAGGGCTCAGGCCGAAGACTGGAGCCATACATTTGCGTCAGCAGCTGCAGGGGATGCTCCCATTCCAGGCCCTGCATAGTTCCAAAGAACATACCGGCAGCTGACATGATGCATGACGCAGCGAAGCTCTGCCATGGCATCCTGTTTGCAAGGAGCTCAATTTTTGTCTGCATGACTTCATTGCTAGCTCTGCTTCGGCGAGCTGCAGCAAGTCGCCGGATTGGCAGATCTTCGCATACTTTCCAATCCGGCTGCCCAAGCTGTGGAGGATCAGGATGCCACGCAATGCGCGATGTATGTCGTTGTCCGCAGGCCGCTGCTTTCTGCGCGACATGCCTTTCGCCGTTGACGGAGGTTCAGGCGCTGCCCGCTGGCAGACAAGCATGACAAAGGGCGAAGATGCATCTTGATCCAGGCTTGTGCGTCTTCCGTACGCTATTTGTCGTTCTTGCCGGCTTGCCACGCAGATCAGGTGTACATCTGCCGAAGGACGGGCTTGCCTAATGCCACAAGCTCTGGACATATCTGCTGAAAGCAGTGCAAAGCCTTACCGAGAATCGCTTGTTCGTGTCCTCCTCAGTCGCAGCCGTTGTGCCATGAGCCCCTTCTTGTCGACAACGATGGCAGCCAACTGCAAAAGTGGCACAGGTGGGCTCTACTGTTGCGGCTTCCGTATGTGCTGGTAAACTTTGTTGAACATTATTGGCTAAGTGGCTCAACTGCTCTGACACTTCTTGCAGGGACCTCTTCCGAGCTAATGCCTTTTTGTCCCTGCTGGCAATACTTTGTCGATCTTACACCATGCACACAAGCCGACAATAGTACTAGCCGAAGAGGCCACAACATCGTACATTGCAACCTAAGCTCCTTCCCTCCCTTCCTGTAGATCCCGTCCTGTGAGTCGTCCCAGTCTGCGAGTTTGCTCGTCTTCGACTGCTTCCAGGCTAGGCCAAGGCTGTCCTGACGACGGCTTGCAAGCGGCGGCATTCATGACTTATTGAAAGCATTGTGAACGCTTCGCATCGTTTTCCTGGGGGCGGGGTTGCGATACAGGATGTCGAGATCGAGAAGAAGGGATTCCTCTGAATCCTCCGAGGAATACCAACTGAGGTGCGCACCAAGTACTCGATTACCATCCCACGAAGGACGGGTTCGCCCCTGCGGCCCTGGCCCGAAGCAGGTCTACTAGGAAAGTCAAGCACGTCGCGTGCACTGTACAGAACATCGTCATAGGCTTCCTTCTCTGGAGTAGCTGACTGAATGCTCTGAGAACACCGCTATAACCCTTATCATCGCATCTTGCTTTTCGGTACAAAGGCAACAATAGTCATTGCTGCATTGCTTCTTTTTAAATGTTTTGGCTGGCCTTGAGGCGGCCAACGATGACAAGGAAGTAAGGCGGTGGACTCGTGGCATCGAGCAGCTCAGGCACGACCTTCTCTGTAGGAGGAACAGGATGTGGTGAGTCTAGACGCTCAGGTCCAGCTCGCAACTGAGCATGGTTGAATATTTCAGAGGAAACAGGAAAGACTTACTGACTAGCTGCAGTATTGATGCTGATGCTGTACGGTGGTATCAACGACATACGACGGCTGTTGCTGCATCTGCTGCAGTATGAGTGCTGGTAATAGGCAAACAACAACAAGAGAACAATACCAGTCAACGATCCAGCAGCCTCATGAATCCACCACTTCACAGCCAGCTTCGCTGCACCGAAGGAAAGGCCGTGCAGATCCAGCTTGTTCGGACCTGCAAATGAAGCCACAGGTGTTGCTTGTGTATGTGCATGCGGGAATGCAGGATTGACGTGCATGCATGTATATCTGTATATATATATACACACAAGCACAGGCATACGTACGTGCTTGCTTTGTTACCTGTACACGCGTGCATGTAGCTAGGTAGGCAGTCGTTCGGAATGTACGCAGGAATGCACGCCTGTCGATAATGTAATCCATCGTGCTAAGAGCAAAGGTGTCGTAGAGGCTTCACATGCTCCAGTCTTCTTTGGCCAACGCACAGGCCTCCTTTCATAACTCCTGGGAACACCGCCTCCTTCACTGCCTGGTTCCAAAGGTGAGCAGCGCAGTCCACTTCATGAAGAGCATCCAGTGCATAGTTGTATCCATTTGAGCGGCTCTGCATGTCGAGGTCGGCGCTGGCAGCTGTCATGGATGCAAACAGATGCAACGCGGCCGGCCAGTGCCCGGCAGATTGGTAGATCTGCATAGCAGTGCCCATCGTATCCAGGTCAGGTGGAATGCTGTCTCGGACCATGCGATGAAAGAGAGCAAAAGCAATCGGCCAAGCTGACTGTGCCAAGGAGCTCATGACTGCATTCCAATGGATACGGTTGGGGTTGGGCATCAGATGGAAGAGCGCAAGTGCCGCTTCCCATTGCTGACATGCACCACAAGCGCTTATTGCGGATGTAAAGCTGCGCTGGTTTGGTATGAGTTTCTGATCAAACATACTACTGAAGGTTTCAATCGCAAGCTCCCACTGTTCGCCTTCATCACATGCACTGAGGACGGTATTGCAACAGACTTCGTCCGGAGACACAAGCTTGTGCTTCATGCGGTCCAGCAGTTCTAGTGTCCACTCCCACTGCCCGGACATTGCACAAGAATTCATAGCTCCAGCAAAATGAAACGCTGTCTGCTGTAGGTGCATGCGCGGTATACTGCTGAAGATGAGCAGCGCTTGCTCCCACTGTCCAGCTTCTTGAAAAGCTTGCAAAAGAGTTCCAAGTGTCACATCGTCCAGATCCAACCCCAGGGATGCCACAAGCTGAAGAGCAGTTTGCAGCTTCCCAGCTCTTATGCAGGTGTCGATGGCTATATTCAAGGTTCTGTCGTTTGGCGCTACGTGCTTGTCACGCATTTCTTGAATAAAATGCAGCGCCATCTGCCACTGGCGCACCTCTCGGCTCAGCTTCAGTGCAATATTGTAGGTGCGAGTATCCGGCGGTACAGATGCCGACCTCATCCAAGCCAACCATCGCACGGCTGCTTTGCAGGTTGGATCCTCGCATGGCTCCGAACTTCCCCGAACCGAAAAACAGAGTATCACTACCAGCAGCCCCTTATTCTTGCTCTCCTGCATGGCACTCATCAGGACGTTACAGTGGCTCTTATTGATTTTCAGGCCGTTGCTGCGCATGAAATTCAGGACCAGCATGGCGACTGGACCGCGACCCTCATCCACCAGTATCTTCAGCCTTGGGTGTGAATTTGCAGAGCTTTTGCCTCTGGCGAGCGCATGTCTGTGATTGCAGGGGTATCGAGAGTCTAGCTCCTCCAGCAACCAGCTTTTTCGACTTCAACTCTTCGATGCAAGCACGCCGCAAGTTGGTCACATATTGCGGGTTCCTCTCCAAAGATCCTCCGAGTCAAGACGCACCAGTCTCAGAAAAAAAACACCAAGCAATGCCTTCGTGAAATTTCTCTAGGGCCTCGGTGTTGCCGAAGAATGGGCATCAACTCCTTCAGCTCCAAGTTTACTTCTACCGGCGGCACTTGCAACATTGCTTCTGGCGCATCTCCTAAGTTAGACTTGAGCTCGCTGTCCTCGAGAACAGGATTTGGACCCAATGCCAAGATCTTGTCAATGTCAGACTCTCCTGCCCAAGCTGGAGGCAGAGTCTCTGCAAAGCCGGCACAGGATGTCCTACAAGAGCCAGCAATGCACTCACTGAAGAGACGGCCTGCGAGTCGGGGGTTGGGAGTCTTCCCTGTTGTTCCGGTATTCCTCGGTCGCCTCTTCGTCGGCCGACGGGCATGCACTGCGATCGAGGACCTCGTTTGAACCAGCCCTCTTGACTTCCATGGCTGTGCGATGCAGCTGGCACTTGCAGCAGGCGCCAGCGCACATGGCATCACGGCATCCAGCTTCGAGTCTGGCTACGGGGCACTTGATCGCTCTTGTGGCTGAAGCCTCGGATCACAGTGCTTTGTAAATCAGACATCTGCCGAAGGTGATACCATGATACCAATGATACCTGTAGCCTGTAGTTTCGTGCAACGCCTAGTGCATCTATTTTGGGCCGGAGTAAGCATCCGAGGCAGGAGGTGTGTCTGAATCTCCCGAGCAGTCTTCCCAGCTCCAGTCCATGCACGGGCTCAGAGGCCTTCTCGCAGATCTTCATCACTGTGCTGACTGCGATGGCATCTTCTCTCAACCTTTACGAATCGTGAGGACAACATGATGCTCACGTACCTCCGCAAAGTGCCGGACCCCGCTGTCTGGATCTTCCGAAGAAGAAGGAGCGAGGTGGCCCAGTCCCGTGCCTGCAACTACCAAGTTCAACTGGTCAAGCCAAAGCTTCGATTCTAGAACCCCACGCTCCTTCTCTGTGGCGGATATGCAGGTGCTGTATGAGATGAGGTCTGGATCGCGCATGGAAAACCTCCCGTCTTGCATGGTTTTGCTAATCATTGACTAAGACGGAAGCAGCCGTGCCTCATCTCTGCCAAGACCTCTAACGCTTGCTGCAAGCTGCCCGCCCTGAGATTTCGCCGCTAAACACTCTGCCAAGGAGATTCCGGAAGGCAAGAACTCTTGCACCTGGCACAAGCGAGCAGCACGAGATTGAATGTCCGCACCGTCGGCCAATATCCCCTCCTGAATTGCATGGTGCGGCATGCATCACTCTGTGTGAAATGCCTGAACTAGATGCACTAGCTGTCGGGTGGAATCACTGTGGAATCATTGCAAGCCTTCGCACTGGGTGTTCCACCGTCGCATCAGCTGCAAGAGGTAGAATGCCTCCTGCAATCTCGCTGCCCGACCTTCACTCTGGCGGTGAAGATGATCGTCAGCACTACTGCTTGCTGTTCTCACGATGCGGTACTGCATTTATTGTGACGATGCGGTCCTTGTACTAGAAAAAGACATAGTGACGGGAAGCCAAGCTCACAGGTACCAGCATTAGCAACCATGCAGCAAGGCTCAAACCGTGGAAGCATTATGGCGACGACGATTGTGATGAGGATGACGATCATCATCATCATCATCATCATCATCATCTTCGTGGGTATGACTACTGACTACTACTCTTCCTGCCAACTGCTCCTGCTCGTCATGCTACTTTGACTGTAAGCCCACTCCGTCTACCACTTAGGCTGCCACTGGTACCACCACCACCACCACCACCACAGCGTTGCTGCTGCCGCTGTCGCTTTTACTCACTTCTATGCGTAGTTTTGGCTGGTATCACTCCTGCATCCTCTTGCCTTATGAGAGTTTATCATCATCATCGTCCTCATCTTCATTCATCATCATTGCAGAGTCACCACAGCAATCATCATTGTCAGCTCCGGCTGAGTTCCGTTTTCACAAACTTGCATTTGCATTTCAGGTCTCTTCTTCTCACACTCAGTGCAGCCATTGCTGATAGCTTCAACAATGACTGATGTCGACTATCATGCTGATCATGCCTGTAAAGTACGACTTTGTTAGATCATCACTCTTTCGTTCACTGTCAGCGGCTCGGATGACCGTGCCAATGCGAGTGGTGCCTCTATGTGGTGGGTACAGATGCCGGAAATCTGGCTTATCGTGAAGGCGAAGAAACATGCTGGTTTATTGAGCTGGTAGCAAGTATTCGCGCCAGGTTTTCATCATGAACTACAGAGCTTCTCAGCTACTCGGCTAACCGAGGATGCGGCTACAAGCGCCAACAGCATTGGAGAGTAGAGCAACACCTGCCAGCCACTGGTTACGTCTTCGGCGGCTGAAGTTTCAGGATAGAGCTCAGGAATGGCACCACACCCCAAAGGCAAGTAGAAACTCTTTAAAAATCTGAATCCCCATCGTTTCCCCATACGGCTTCAAAAGTGCCAGACATGCCAGGTCCGCCACCCAATCTCACTTAAATTCCTTTGGAAACCGTGCAACAGCAGCTATATCGATGGGCCACATGGGCATGCTTTTGTAACCCATCTTGGTTCAAGGCTGAAGAAAGTGTCATCAAGTCTCTGGGACGCCACGAGGAAACATGCCTGCGGTGCCAGCAGTTCTCTCAGAAATCATATAGCCAAGCTGTACTCCCGGCCTCTCGCCAGCGCGCTGCGCGGAATTTCGCGCCCATGACCTCCATGGCAGGCAAAGCTGGCCAAGTTTGCCAGCGAGGGCTTCTCGCGCACCTTTTCCTGCAGCTGCTGACCGGGCGTAAACCGATGCGCCTTGGACGTGAATAAAAAAAAGGGCCCTTTGACATATTCCGGTTTTTTGCGGACGGTTTCGATGCCCCCGACTTACAACACACCTTGCCCCACAAATCTATGGAGCCATTCGCCCAACCCGACAGCCCAACTATCAACCAAAATATCCAACATCCCCAATCCCCGTTATACTCCTATCATATGCCCAAATCTCAACTCAAAATCCCGAAAATCTTATTCCCAAAATCCTCAGCCTAAAAAAACCGTTCTTCTTCAAACACCCGAAATCTAGCTCCAACAGATTCCCCGATATTCCTTAGCCCAACATGCCAGCATGCCAGCCCAAAAACCCCAACCTCAAAACCTTTAATACGATTTCCCCTAAACCCTAGACCTATGAATGACAATAAGCCTAATGGGGCAAGGTGTCTCTACTGAAAACATCGCGATGCCTAGCCCAAGGAGACTCGACTCAAGAAGCCCCAAGGCAAAACCTACCACTAAACCACGACAGAACATGAAGCAAAACGGCCTAAAGATATAACGCTGTATATGTTATCATGGAAATGTTCAGTGAAACTGAGCAGGGGGAGATTATGAATGATTACGTTCTAAAGCGCTTACACTCAAGCAAATATTGACACAATTTCGACAGACAAAACCAAACTTGCGAAACATGCTTAACCGATGAATTTTGGTTGTTGCGAGTGTTGTCATACGAAGAACAACCTTATGAAAGAGATAGACGTATGTCTTACCGGTCTTACCGAAACAAAAGACGAGAGTCTAAAGGGTTGCTTCAAATGGCACATAGTCAAACAGCCCAAGATACAGAAACGAAAACACTCGTGCCCGTCAAACATGCAATGTTAAAGTTTCAAGAACAAAGACATCACGGTCAGAACTAGGTCGATGAAGGATCCATGTACAATTCAAAAAGCGACCGGATCGAACGACTCAAACCATACGAACGCCCATTAAACATTCATAAGCACAATAACAAGTTTGTACGTAGTAAAGAACAGTAGAGAGAAACTGCGAGAAACTGATTTCCAACAATTCAAAGAACAAACGCCTTATCGTCAGAAAGCACTGTTGATGCTGTATTTCAATTTGATGATAATATAATATGAAACTCCATTAATGACACCTTGCCCCATTTGGCTTATTGTTATTCGTGGGTTTATGGTTTAGGGGAAATCGTATTAAAGGTTGTGGCTATTGTTTTTTTGGGCCCGGATTTTGGGCTGAGGAATAACGAGGATTTTGGGAATAGGATTTCGGGAATTTTGGGTCGAGATTTTGGGCATATGGGTATAACGGGAATTTGGGGAGTTGGCTTTCGGGAATTCGGGCTGAGATTTTGCTCGCCGAGTTGGCGGAATGGTTCCGCAGATTAGTGGGGCAAGGTGTCTTGTAAGTCCCCGTCCCACATGCCTAGGTTCAAAGGTTGCTCAGGGGCAAGCTCGTGTCTCCTGCATGAACGGGTCTGTGCCAAGCTGCAGCTGCTACAAGACCCTCCTGACTCACTTAAGTTCGCTCAGCTTGAGCAGCCCGAGCCCAGCAAACTTCTGAAGCTAACGATCACATCCAGGCTACAGCACGCCGGTCAGTTGTCGAACATCTATGCATGGAGGCTGCCAAGGAAGGTCCTCCAGGAGTGCCGATGCGTCCTGCAAAAAAGTACAAATTGGGCTGAACCCAGCCATTCAAGCATTGCACGCGCACTCATGGCTTCGGCTTGTGAAAACGCAGCTTTCCATGTCAATGTGGATAGCTGCTTTGAAGGACTCTTCGAGGTGCTTTGCGAAATCAGGCTATGAGGAACCTAAATCATTTCTCTGGGTGAACCTCTCTTGCTACCATGCCCGTGTTACGACGTCCTGCCAAAGACCAGCTTCCGCAAATGCATTCGCTGCAACTCGTGGAGCATTACGCGAAGTCCTGCCGCACGTCAAGACAAGACACCGCTCATTTCATCTCGAACGAAGCACGACTGGGTCCTCTCGTTCTGACGAAAAAATGCCAGTAGTTTCTTCCTGTGACATTAATTGCTCAAGAGGTCCGGGCACCATGCGAAGGAACGAGCTAACTCTGGTCGGCAAGACCCTTAGGGGCGAGCAACAAGCCAACTTGATTAGCATCGGCAAGGATGGAGAACATGCGTTTCATTGTCAGCAGCGTGAAGATTCCCTCCTCAAAGCGTGACGACGAACATGCAGGGAAACTGCAGCAAGATTCACCATGCGCTCACATCTGAACTCCTGCAGAAACTGCTGCAAGGCTTCTTGCCACAAGCGACCTGCACCGTCTTTCATGAGTGAGATGATGACCCCACGAGTTGGGCCAAGCGGCGCTGTCGGTAGACTGCCAGGGCAGCACCTTGCGCGGCCTTGTCGGATGGCATGCATGTGGTACCAAGTTTCAGCAAAGTCCTGCCAGAAGCACGGCTGTCCAGGCTTCTGGCATATCGTAGGCCCAATCGCTCTGCATGCATTGTGTTCAGGATCACCTTGGGGTATCAAGCCGGGCCCTTGCAGTTTCTTGTAGTCTTGCAGTTCTGTGGGTCCTGCCAAAGACGCAGCCCATGTACTTCCTCTGATGAAAGACCTGTGCAGATCAACGCAGGCCCACACCCCCCACGGAAGGGTCGCCACGAAGCTGTTCCGAGCCACGGACTCGGCAACATTTCCAGATGCTCTGCTGTTGGAGACCATACCTTCTTGCCTCAGCACCGAGCTTTGTCCGGAGCATCACGAGGTAGCTACTGCAGAAAGGCGGCTTCATGCTTTGCCAGAGATGCACCACCTGAAGGGCAACAGCATAAAGTGCAAGCGGCCTGGTATTTCCTATGCACATAAAGACTTGTGCTTCGGTTGTTAACTGGAATCGGAAACTGCATGATGGACTTCCAACCCACCCACTCCCTGATGCATTACAAGCCAGTTGCATCGTGCATCCCTGGCATTTGCCCAGCGCCTGTTCCCACAGGTGCTGCTTCAAGAAGGCTTTGAAGATGTTGGCATAGTCGTCTGTTCCCACAAGTATTGGGAGTCCTTGTCAGAAAGCAACATGAAGCGGGATTCTGCAGCCTCCCTACCAACCTTGTATCTCTGTCAACACTGTCTGTGTCTCCTCCTGCAGAGCAGTGGCAAAACATCGGAGCACGAGATGACAAAGCGATTGCATACGCATTCCTGCTTCAACGCACGGCCCAACTGTTTCGTCTGCAAGAGGCTGACGACCTGGAGCAGCGACTGCGGCTACTGGTAGCAGACAAAGCTTTTCTTGGACTCTAGGGCCTGCTTGGTAAATACGATCTTGGGCACTACCTGCACTTCATCTCTTCGTCGGCCGGGTCTCCACAGCCACTCTCGTTCGCCTTGCCGGACATGCAATGGGGCCGCTCAGGAGCTATGTGGAGAGCCTGCGGGAGATGCACTGGGAGATCGCCGCCCAGTTCCCTGGCGAAACCGATCATTTCCTGAGATGAACATCCAAGTCCAGTCAGCCTGCATCGTGGATCGACGAGCGCCGTCGAAGCGCCCTGCTCCCGGCGTTGGATCTGTCATGGCATGTGTCCATCTCATCGGAGGAAAGTGCAACGGCTCGGCCTTGCCAGTGCCGAGCGCTCTGATGGCAGCCCTCGAACAAGGGTAGTCTGCAGCAAAGTCTGAGACATCCGAGACCTCTGAGGGCCCTGCATGACATGCCTTGGCACGAGCAGGTGCTCGCCCTCGCACCTGGTTTATGCATGGCTCACCCAAAGTGCACTAGCTGAGCTGCTTCTATCGGTGACGGTCCCATTTTCCGAGCTGTCACCTAGATCACTCTGGATGTCAGTGCCGACTAGCGATTGCAGAGTAAGGGGCAGGTACTGCAAAGCACGCCGGTCTTGATCCATTGCTGCCTGCGCGATGTCTCGGTTCCCGCGCAAGCCAAGAGGAAGAAATTGCAAAGATCGCCAGTCTTGTCGAATCGCTTCCACGGCGATATCTGGATCTGCAAGCGCACTGCCGGCGGCATAGCGTACGGACATGCCATTTTGCCGGACTGCCGCCAATACAATGTCCCGATCTTTGCGCAAGGGAAGAGGCAAGAATCGGAATGACTTCCAGTTCTGTCGAATGGCACGCATCGCCATGGCATGATCGTGGGAAAACTTTTCGCCGAGGTGTTCCATGATCAGCCCATTGACATCAAGCGCTTCCTTAACAAAGTCAGGCTCTGTCTGCAGTCTGACTGCTGCACTTAGGAACGCGGCGCTGTGGTGGCAGATGGCACTTTTCACCACCTCCGGGTCTGCCTGTAAGTCTGACGTCGCGTTCTTAAGGGCCCCTCCGTTCCGTCGTACGGCCTCCATCATGAAGCTGCGACTGTTATGCAAGCCCTCTGCTGGTGAATGAAGAAGAGCATCTGCATTTTTGTGGATAGCATCCAGAAGGAAGTCTCGATCCAGTAAGAGCTCTTCAGATGCATGCTGCAGCGCCAGCCCCAGCCCAGTCTCTGGGATTGCGCTTAAAACAAGAGCCCTGTCTGCTTGAAGGGAGCCTGCTGCGTACTGCAGAGCCCCTTCGTTTTCAGAGACTGCTAACCGCACGCAGTCACGGTCCGCCCGGAGCCGGGGTGCTGCATGCCGTATGGCAAGGCCACTCTGCTTAACAGCTGCAGTCACCAGCACCGGATCCTCTCGGAATTCCTTTTTCATGTGCGCCAAGACATCGCCGTTCTGCTCCGCGGCGGCCAGTGCAAAGTCAAAGCTTTCGCGAAGTTGTCGTGGAAGTATGCTGTACACAGCACCGTTCCGGCGCAGGACCGACAGCAGGAAGCGGCGATCGTCAAGAAGCTGGCTCGATGCATAGGCGAGTGCCTGGGCATCATTCCGTGCCGCGGCCAGGACAACCTCAGGATCTGACCTCAAAGGCTCCGCTGCGTATTGCAGTGCAGAGCCTGCCTCCTGGACGGCCGTCATCACCGCCCCGCGGTCCGCTTGCAAACAGGTAGCATGCTTTAAAGAGTGACCGGCCTGAGAGATGGCCTTCAGAGCGACATCTCGATCTTGCTTCACAGAGGCTGGAGCATGTTGAAATGCCTCCGGATTCCGCTCAACGATCTGCCGCCAGTCTTTGGCAGACAGGTTCTGTCGGAGCAACGTGAGGTCTGGGGAGAACTGGCTAGAGAAGTTTCGCTCTGTCAATTCCTCTGTCCCTGCAACTAGATGTTGCTCCCAGCGGGGGATGCCTGTTGCTTCCTCAATCGCGAGCTTCAACTCCGTAAGACCCGCGGCCTCTTCTGGCTTCAGGATGCAGAGCATCCCCGTCAAACCACAGACCCGGATCTCCAAGTCAGAGCCCATGAATCCCGAGATCAAACGAAGCTCTTTCGAAAGAATTGCCGCTGAAAAACCGAGCTCAAGTCAGCCCAGGAAACCTCGTCCAAGAGTTCTGACCACCTTTACAGCCACAGCCGCACTTTGAACCACAAAGTCTGGGAGCCTCTCTCAAAGGTAATACATGTATCGCGGGTCGACGTGTCTCTTGAGTATCTCCTGCTTCTACCGTCCTTCCCAAGTTTGGTTGGCTTCATTGCCGCGATAACACACGAATCGAACTCAACTCCACGATCCCCCAGTGCCCTAAAACGTTCGAGACAAGCTCATATTGAACTTTAGCCAGCAAGCCACGCATTGCGACCCTTGTGTATGCAGTTTCCGCCGAACTTAAGTGCCAAACGGCTGGGCTGGAAAAGTCTGTTCGACTGCGTGCTGCTGCTTCCAGTCACCCCTTACTATGGCCATCTCCTGCTCTTTGCCGACCTATTCTCTCAGCACGGCAGCCTGACTGTCTCCCCTCCCTCTCACACTCACTACTCTCTCTCGCTCGCTCACACACAGAGTCGTTCCGGCCTTTAGCTGATGCCTTGCTGGATGCAGGAGCCATTGCAGGATGTTCGAGCGCTGGATGGCAAAGCCGCACAACGTCGACACATCTAATCGCATCATCCCTCAATGCAGGCCACAGATTGGACAGCCTCTACCGAATGCATGCGCAGACTGCCGGCTTTTTAAAATCACGATCCAACGAAGAACTTCTCGGATATGAATCCCCAGCTGGGAAGATATCGGAGGTTCTCCGTTGGGCACGCGATGACTCCACCTGTCGGCATGACTGGAAGAAAAATGCCTGGCGACAGACCAGTGCCACTGTGCCTAGCGCTTCTTGTACCCGGACTTCCTGCCTGAAGGGCAAAAAAGCAAGAGAGTGACCTTCGTTTTGACAAGGCTCTCCGAGATCACGGCCGGTCGCCCAAGCTCCAAAGAGTTGGCCCCAGGGAATCCCCACGAACCAGCCACGCACGTGGCACCTCAAAGAGAGGTCTTTCTTTGTCATTCCACACTTCTGTGCGCCGTGCTAAGGGGCCGAGCACAGCGAAAGTCGACACCCCGAGGCTCGGAAGAGTCCGTCGTGCAAACAGCACCTCCCCAGGGGGCAACGGGCCGAAGTATCGCTGTTGTGGTGCTAAGGCCAGGGCCCAAAGCTATGTAGAGGTCGCTCGGGGGAACTGGCCGCCACACGTACAAGCCTTCACCGCCTGCGGGCTGCCATGCCGGAAAATACAAGATCGTCGGCTTGCTTCCTGCTACCTTCACATGGCCTACACGGTCACATTGACTGCATCTCGAAAGGCTGCATTTATCTGCAACGCTCACAGCGCGCCTGGGCTTTGCGCAGCGGACGAACCCTGACTTTGGGCGGAGGCTTCCTGGTGCAACACGCAACTTGCGGCGGAAGCTCCCAACCCTCTTTCACTGGGACTCTCGCAGATGTGGCACCGCGTCTGTCGTACCAAATCAGTCGGAATGCGACGGGTCGCCTGCGGTTGCGCAGTCTGCAAGTTGCATTCAGCTCCTTGCCTCTGGACATGCTCCAAACCAGGTCTAGATTGCTTTGCCAGGTCGAGTCGAGTCACGGCAAGAACCGCGACATCCAAGCATCCAGTCCTGAAGCGAGCAATGTCACGGGAACGACAACCCATGAGGCACATGGGAGCGCGCCGCGGTCCTAATCCAAGTCCTCCTCCTTTGGGAGGGCTTTTCGAGGGTTTGATCCTCACGACCAAACCTGACATGCTGCGCAGGCAGCCTACCGGCCTACCTAGATCGAGAAGCTCCACACGAGTAGCTGCAACGAGCAGTTGGCAAGGTGTGACTGGGCCGAGGCTTGGACATGCCGTCGGCGCTTCCAGGCCCCGCCGTCCGATGTCTCCCAGAAAGAAGAGGCCTGGGCGCAGCGAGGCGCAGTGTTCAGGTGTCCCAGTCCCAGTGCAGGCGCCGGACGGCCATTTCCTGCGCCCACGAGGCTCCTGGGGAGCAGTAGCCGAGCTTCAGTGTAGACACTTTTTTGGAGGCTGGAGCCTGAGCCCTTGCTGAATGGAGTTTCCACCGGCAGCTGCACCAGACTGGCCAAGCTTCGACTTGAACGTCAGCTTTGCTTTGCTCTGCCTTGCTTTCTCGGGCCTTCAGGTCCGGCCGCCAGATGCTGAAGGGTCTCGCCTATCACAGACCGGAAGCAGGAGACTGCAACTTCGCTTTTACCTGATTGAAAAAAACTGAGCCGAAGATGCTCAAACCTGATCTGTGTGAGGCTTAGGGCTCTCAAGGGTTGCCGTGCCTCAGTTCCCGGTACTTTCCGAGACGTCCAGATTTCGACCAGGCGGTCATGCGTCAGTACTTTGACTGACCAGCGCCCAGCCTTCCCATGGTGCGAGGAAGCCTCTGAGACTAGGATTCGGCCCAACCATGCCCAACCTCTAAATTCAACTGGCACTCGGCCAGTGCAGCAGATGGCGAAGGAGCAGCCTGAGCCGACCATGGGCTGAGTGGAAGCAAAGTACACTTCAGCAATGCCCCGACGACTTGGACGTCGATTTCGACGCCACAACCCCTCAGATGGCGTGGGCACCGCGCTTCCAAAACAGCTTCTTTGCCCTCGGCTTCATCGATGTCCTCAGGGCTTTTAACCCCACGCCGCCCACGCTAGGCAGTCTCGCCTACTTCCACTGATTCGATAGATGCCATCAGAAGAAAGCAGAGGCCCGGGCATCACCCCCAAGCGATCCCATAAGCTGCAAGAAGCTCGAGAGGCTCACACTCGCTCTCCTGACACCCCCAAGGCTTAGTTAGATGGAGCTCTCCCACAATATTTTCCAAGACAGGGACTCCATCGTCACACCCTCTGCGTCCATCCTTGGGGTCTGTATAGTCGCTTGTCTTCGCTGTGCACTCTCTTTGGGAGCCTGGCCTGGCTGCAGTGAGTGCGAGCCTGCCGGCCTCCATCGCATCCAGGAGACCGAACTGCTGAAGCCTTTGGCTTCCGAAGAGAAGCGAAGCGGGCACAGCCCAGTTCCGACAGCTCGAGGCTGGGACGCTTGAGCGAGATCTCGAGCGCTCAGGTGCAGACACTTGCCTCCGGCCTGGCGGAAAGGGAGAACATCTCATGTGAGGGCCTGCCCTGTGTCCTGTCTCCGTGCATCAAAGCGCCTGCAGAGCGAACAGCTGCCTTGCATTTGCGCCACGCCGTCTCAAGACAGTTCTTACCTGTGGGGTCACACGCTCACTTGCAGCTACAGTCAACTAGACCTCTGAAAGCGAAGAACTCTGTACTCAATAGGTGTCCGATGGCCTTGGCGATGGAGCTCTCCAGTCGTGCCTGCAGGAAGAGTGGATCCATAGCGCTACACTGTAGCCACAGTGTCCTAAGAATGAGTGAGCTCGTTTCAGAGCCGGGCCTTGTGCCGAATACTGGGCGGAAGCAGCAAAGCAGCCACAGACAACGATGGCACCTCGCTGCAGCCGCCGGCTTCCCGACCAAATCCCAAAAACCAGATATCGGCCGTGCGGCTAGTCCAAGCCTACACAAGCACTACCAACCTCCGAACCCCTGCAGCACTGCTTGCCATTTTCCTTGCTGACAGAAGCAAGAAGGTCTTGTGCTCGTGGTGCTGGTGGTTGCGGATGTGGTGGTGGAAATTACAGTGGTGGTGGTCGCAGTGGGGAGTGGCGGTCGCTCCTCGCGACATCCTGTACCTTAGGCCTTGGGTTTAAGCTTGCCAGAATCGCATGTCCGACTTCCATCGGGGCATTCCGGTGTAGCTGCAGCGCAGCTGGGCAAGCATGTTCGCTGAGGCAGGCCGAGCCATGTCGCAAAACCGGATATGACCGCCGAAACGGGCACTTCCGGGCATCTTGCATCTGCATTCAGAATGCGCCTCAACTGCCGCTGGTGTTTGTGTGACTTTGTTTCTCCTGCTGTTCTCGCTCTTGCTTGCCGTCTCAGCGTCGCTTGCTGGTGCTGTTGCTGCGGACTGCACCTGCTTTTGCTGTCGTTTCGTGGCTGCTTCTTACTGATCTTATTCATTATGCCGCCGCACTGCGACAGCAACATCCGCGGCAGCAGTAGCAGCAGCTAGTGTGGAAGCTTGAGCTCCTGCTTCTCGTCTTCGGTGTCGTCACGCTGCCTGTGCCCTAAGTCTTCCGAGTCGGGGCCCCCGGCAGGTCGGGCTTGGGCCCGACGCCGACAATGCCGGACTTGCTCCCACCACTCCAGGCGCCTAAGATTAGCCAAGGCTACGTCCTCTACGTCCGCTACGCCTGCAAGCGCGGAAAAAACGGGGCTCTAAGTTCTTGGCTCAGCGTGCTTGCTTCCCATTAGGCACAGGTCCACTGCACACAGCTCGCGCGCGCTAAACGAGACCTGTGCGCGACTAGACTTCAAGCGATGTCCGGGTCCTTTACGACAACCGTGGGCCTCTGAATCTACGAAGCGGCTCAGCTGGCTTGCCTGAGGACGCAAGTTATTATAAGTTTCACAGAAAGACGTGGGCCTGATTTCGCTGGGCCACAGGCAGCAAAGGCCTGAAAGGAAGGGCCCAGGGAGAAATCATTGCTGGTGTCCAGCGGCTGCCCTTCTAAAGCCACAGGGGCACGCCTCGGCGGCAACTTATTCCCTGATGCAATGAGCTTCAGCGTGGCGGGAGCGTCCCATCAAGGCCCAAACAGCGCAATGCCCATAGGGAAAGGCGGGCGGCTGTGAAGGACCTGGCTAAGTGTCTTAACGTCTCCACCTCGAGACCAGGCCATGGCTTTTCTCAGGTCCCTGCAGCTCGCAAGTGCCTGCAGCTTGGACTTCTGGGACCATGCCCGGCTGTGAGTTCCAGGTGCCATCAAGCTGCTCCGCTTCCAGGAGGGACACTAAGCAAAAGTAACGTCCAGGCTGGATGGGGCACCTCTGGCTCACAACAAATTTGCTCGCCAGTCTCTCACGTCGTGTCTCTGAGGTGCCGGCATGGGAGCCTCGGACTGCATTAAGCGGCCGAGGTCAGCGACCGTCCTCGCTCCATGTCGTGCAGCCACGATTGAATAAGAGCTCATTGTCCACGGAAAACAGCACTCCCTTCGCAGAGTAAGCCATGGCCTGGAAACCGGGAGGTTCTGGCCAACTTGAAGATGCAAGCCTCGCTGTTTCTAGCGAGCTCCCGTGGCCAAGCTTTGCCAGTCCCGGTCCGGGGCTCCGACATTCCATCAAGGATTTCGACTGTGCCTCTGTCAGCTCCTGGATGTGAGAGTCATGTATACAGATAGCTGTATCTCAACGAAGCACAGGCCGAGGGACCTCCACACCTTCCAGCTCCAGGGCGTTCAAAGCTGCACGCAACGCGTCGGAGTCGGATGCGATGCCCTGGACGGCAAGGGCGAGACACGTTCGCACGAGTGCACATGCTCGTGTAACTCTGAAAATCGGCAACGGCATGTCTCCGGGTGCTGACAAGATGCGTGAGCACAAAGTGTTGCGTTCTGCCAGGCACGGCTTTCGAGCACTTGCAACCTTATGCCAATTAGCGACCTCGATTTGCTGAAGAAGCTCCCGCGTGCGCCCGCCAGGCACCTGAAGCACGACAGCTGGCTACAAGCAACGAAACCATTTATCGTGACACATGGGTTGATCCCCTTCTGGAGCCATTGCTCATCATTGCAAGGGCTTGTCTTCAGGGTTGAACACTTCATCCATCCTCGTGCACATGTTGGAAATCAGGCCAGATCAAAAGACCCACATATCTCAACCACTTGATATAGCCTGAGTCACAGCTTACCTCGGTGCTCGTGGGCTGTTCAGGCAGGGGAATACATGAGTCTGTAGTCTACAGTAGGTCGTAGACCACAGGTTGTCTTTGTCGGAGTTTTCCCGATTCATTTCTGAAAACCCAGTCGTTCGACTTCGTCAAAGTCACATGCATCTGTGGAAACCGAACCCGGGCTGCACACTGCCGACGCAGAAACCGTCATGTAGTTCCGATTGCTCCGATAGCAATTTCATCTCTCAGCGTCCCCTCCATGCCATGATCACAAAGCCACGGCCAGGCTATCAGCTAAGCATGTTTGAAGGAGACCAGGGCTAAAACGGTATCACCAGGAGCTCGGCCCACTCTGCTAGCATCAAGCAGCATTTCAGGCGCCGGACCTGAGCCCAAGCTCTCTGTGACCCTCTTTGGAGCCATAGCAGGGTTACACGCTTGGGGCATCTGCGGTCTTAAGTCGCCACTGCTGCCGAAAGTAGTTCCTGCCATCGCGAAGCGATGCGAAGCGGTTTCTCGCTGCTGAAAAACTGCAGGGCAATTGAACAACCAAACATGCCAAAGGTTCTGTGATGCCACGAACCACGGCGGAAATCGAAGGCTTTTCTGTGCCTGGGGTAGCACTGCAACACGATCATGAGCTGCAAGTCTCAGGTCAATGCAGCAGCAGCAACAATCAACACGATCATGGGTGTCGCCATAGGCACGGTCTTTGGTCGTGCATCATGTACACAGAAACGGACTTAACTTTTTGTTGACACACGTCTGCCAGCACTTGCACGGGAGCCCACAGCAACTGACAGCGCCGCCTGCATCAGCTTGCCATTGAAGACAGAGAGTCCCTCACCTTGTCTCGCAAACAAGCTCAGTGGGGACGCATGCGATCCAGTGTGACAGAAGCTGGAGCGGCAATTTCTACGTAGGAGTGTTGAATCGAATGGATCGGCCGTGGTAGGCAGTCGGGGTCAAATGCACTGTGCTTCAGGCACTACCACTAGTAGACCGTGCTTGTGCTTGCCTCGAGGTGTCTGACTTATCCCTTGAACTTGACTTCCTGCCATTCAAGAGCCCTGGAGTGACGCTTCGCCGGATGCTCCACTTCCGATACACATGCCATTGGACCATGCTGCGCCTCACAAGCCGGTGTTAAGGCGAGGGCAGCACCTGTAGAACGTGTAGCTGCCATCGGCAAGCTTTGGATCTTCGGACAGGATTTTGGGATTCCACGCGCATTCGCCTGAGGAGGACAGTGTGCTTAAAACAGTGCGCTTACGAGTTTATTGCCAGCAGGCGGCCTTCGTCTTCTCTCGAATACTTCTGATCTGCGGCTTCTTCCTGCAGGCAAGGATTGAAGATCAGGAGCAGCTGAAGAGGCATTTTGGACGCCTCCTCGTCTTCCTGCTCCACCTCCTCTTCCTGCTCCTGTTCTTCCTCTTGCTCCTGTTCCTGCTCTTCTTCCTGCTCTTCTTCCTGTACCTCTGCGGCTTCTGGCAACTTGAGTGAACTTTGTCCCAGGCTCCATGCCATGGCAGAGCGCTTGCCATCATGGGCACTCCAAGCCTGCTCTTGCTCCAGGCCCTTGAAGACCGAGCCCGGCCCGAGCTTTCCCTGGTGCAGTTGTTGGTGTCATGAATCACACCACCTGACATATACTTAATATTCATTCATTTATCGCTAATATATCAATAGTTCATACTGATAGTTAATATTACTCCGACTCCCCTCCTTCCTGCATTTCTCATGCTGGCGCCTTTCCCAGCAGCCCTCGTTGATCGAGGCCCGAAGCCTCCAAGCTACACGGGCTTCACTCTGCGCCCCCCCCCCCCCCCCCCACACCAGGCCCTATAAGTCGTTCTAAAACACTCCAGCCTCGGCAATCAGCTCGTTACCCATTTGCTGTACCTCCCAGGATCTGAGCCGCAGCAACAGCAGCCGTGGCTTCCCTGGAGCGCGGCCTCTGGAGTGATCCAGTGCGCATGTGCCTGTGCTGCGATCATACAAAAAGCTTCATCATGGAAGCATGCCTCCACGGTAAGGACGGGGCACGAAGCCTCTCTGCCAGCCGCTCGCTGAGTGTTCGCTCCTGCCGATGAAAGGAGTGCCGCAAGCGACCCGGAACTGAAAGAGAGCCTCAACCAGCGGATCGGGATCGTTCGGTATCACCTCAGCTCAGCGAGGGCTCTCGCCGCTCGACTGCCGGCTATCACAGGCATGGGGCATCTTCCCTGGGCATCCGCAGTACTGTCAAGCTTGCTGACAGTCCCATTGAAGCCTCGGTTTTGAGACCGTCGCCGCCATGCAGAAACCCATGCTGCTCGAATTTGAAGTGCTCTGAGTGCCCTGTGCCTCCTTGTCCTTGCCCTGAACTACAGACCAGGCACGACTCCTCCCAGAAAGCATGGAGGTTAGATCGCCGCTTGCAGCAGGGAGCATGGCCAACCCCGCAAGAAACATCCACAAGTCCGTTGGGCCTCCAAAGAGCCTCCACATTCTGCTCACAGAGCAAAGCGAACTGCTTGATGTCACTGTCAAGCGTGTTGCCGCCTTGCAGTGCGGTGTGACATGCTTCTGACATCCGAAGAATGGAGAACTGCGTTCTGGTGGGCCACCCGTCCATCGCAGGATCGCCGCGAGCTCTTTCTTGTGCTCTTCAGGGCTGGTCTGAGCCTGTCTTCGGCGCAGTCACTGTTTTTGCGGAGCATGGCAGCACGAAGCGGCTCCTGAATGCCTTGCTTCGGGTAGCTTGAAGGTGCCAAGGCATCAAAAGCCTCGAGCTGTGGTGGCTGCAAGGCATTCTGTGGGCAAGTGTGGTAAGTGCTTCGCCAGCAGCGAATCCAAGCCAAATTGGAGTGTGGTCGCTGGCCTTTAGCATGGCACTTTGGGGCGTCGCTTCGTTGGCTTCAACCACGTCTTCGCTCACACGTTTCCGGGGCATGGGCTGACTTGTCTGCACATCCTGCAAGCCGCATCATCTGCTCACTCTCTGAATTCACTTCGGAAGTCCTGAGGGAAACTGTTCAGGCCGATGTCAACGGGACCTGAGAGCTTGATGCTACGAGGGCAGATCGGCCCAGAGGTGGGGGCCGCTGCTCAGGGAAATGAGGTCGTCGTTCGGCGAGCCTGGGCTTCTCGGCTTATATCGGGGGGACGCGTCTCCGAAGCTTCATGGTATCTCTGGGCCCTGGGCAGTTTGTCACCGGCGCCGCGGGCTCTAAGTCGACCTCGGCCTCCTCTGCTGCCTGGACTGGCAAAGTGTCTCAGATCTGGGGCCAAGAGCAAAATGTGAATCATGGAATCCTGCAGCAAGTTGCCACCTAGCAGCCACTACAAGGTGACGAATTTCCGGAGGCACCAGCCTCGTGCGACAAAACGACGCACTAGCCATGCCCGACATCAAAGAATGATCGCTGTTGCGATGGCGAGCCCGCGGCAGCTGTAAGGTCTGCGCCTCAGTCATTGCTGCCACAAAAAGCCAGTACTCGAGGCTTCCGGCCCTTAGAAGCTGAGACTGCAGCACCTGGCCCGAGCCCTCGCATACGAAAAGCGGCCTGTGCCAAGGCTTCGTGGCTTCGACTCAGCCGGTCCGATCACTACACTCCTTACAGTCCTTACACTTTGCTGCTGAAGCTATCCACGACGACTCCCTGTGTTCCGGTGTCAATTCCTCTTTTGGAAGGTTGGATGTGGAGCACCTGTGCGTAGTCTCTCCACAGCATGTCCTTACCTCAGTCAGCTAGCAGTATGTGTAAGACGTCTGCTCGAGCACACTTCCCGCGATTTCAACACTCTGAAGTCAGGGAGGCTCCCAATATGTTCACAGATGTAACAAATAGATATAATAGACGCCCAACTCCTCAGGCAAGAGCCCAGCGTCAGAGCAGCACGTGCATAGGGAGCTTGCGGCACATCGAGCCCAGTGGTATGCACGTGGTCGTAGAACCTCAACAGTCTAGGAACGAGCCTTCTCACAAGACCACGGTGGACATGCCGCATGTGTCTGCTTGAGGGCCAGTCGTGAATCTCTGCTCTGGGGACAAGCCGCAGTCGGCCAAGGGCAAGATGCGCCCGTCCTAGGCAGAACACTGCTCAAGACTCAGGGCTCAAGCGCGATCTTGGCTCAGTTGACGGCTCGGACCAGAACCACTGACTCATCCGCTTCAGTCAAGAACACCACTCCGAAAAACGAGGATGCCGGCAATGACCTCTGCATGGCCAGGAATCTGCTATATCTAGTGCATTGTCTGACATGATGCAACACAATACAACACAGCATGCAGCGACATATACATTATGTTATATTCTATGTATTTTCTTTAGCTGGACTAGGTATACCATATTATGTTGCGCATTCTCTGCTATTCTATGACCCACTACATCGCATCACATCTTGCATTTCATATCCTATCTTACACACTTCATGTCGCATATCATGATCACTGCAATATATCGTGTATAGTAGAGCATATGTATGCTTTCTGTCGTATTTAGATATGCAAGCTGAAGGCTCAGCAGCCAACTCGAGGAGCTTCGAGGCTGCCTTGGAAAGAGGTATCTTTACCCCCTTTACTTGGGGTTTAGGGATTTGAGAGTTTGGGGATTTCGGGTTTACGGGTTGGGGCTCGTTTCCAACTGTAGCAAGGTTTTGGGTTTGGGGTTCGGGCTTGGGGGGACCTGGGAGGCGTCCGGTGCGCAGGGCTCCAGCAGAATTTGAGGCTTGGGCAATCGATAGGGGATCTAGTATGGTTTAGATCCGAGTAGGCCTTAATCATCGATCTTGATTGAAGTGGGGTGCAATCTGCCATTAGTCAAGGACTCCCATTAATTTTTACAGTACTTTCTGTTTTTTGGGGTGGGGGGATATCATTGTAGAACAAGGGCTCCAATTGACGCTGGGCTTTGGGGGTAAATTACAGTGTAATCCTGTGGGGCCTGGAATTACTCAGGGGGTCTAATTGGCAGGGTTGGGGGGTTAATGCTATATACTATAATACACCGGGACTCCCGGGTTTGCAGTGTGATTATGTAGGGACTGCAGGGGGCTAGGGTTTCAAGTTGCTGCTAAATGCACAAGGAGCTCTTGCCATCCTTTCGTGTCAAGATTCGGTGAAGTTCGACAAGCCAACCACCAATGCCCCCGCATCGATGAGCCTCAGCTTTCTAGATGCTGGCAACAGAAAACACGAAAAACACTAACAACACGCAGTGCTCAGAATCATGATCATAATCACAACCATAACGAAAAATAATAGCAAGAATAGCTTCGCAATGCAGTCTAGGACTAGGGCGCATGGAACTCCCCCGTCGCAGCTCTTTGCAGAAGAAATGCAGGGTCCTCAGCCACCGAGGCGCCAAGTAGGGGACTTTCCTTCCGTTTTGGGGGGTCTGAGGAGCTGGCCCACCCTGCTGAGAGAGTCTCCGTCCGAGTCACGACCTACAGTAGGGCTTAGGGTTTAGGGGTTTGGGGGTTTAGGGTTTCGGGTCTGGGCCAGTAGGGTCCTTTCTACCACACTGAGCAAGAGAGCACACGAACTTTACCGGGATGCCGGTGCAGCCGCTGTGTTCTTGAGTTCCCGGCATTGGCATTCAGAAGTGTGCTCAGAATCTTCGCGTCGCAACCCTGCTCGTAGTGGATCTTGCCCATACCTCGACTGCAGTTTCTTTGATTGCTTCCTCAAGACTCTGGACACACGGAAGCCAAGGGCACTTGCAGGCAGCACCTCCGAAGGCGTACCACTGAAGCCAAGACGCCGACCTGATCAGAAGTCCGAGCGGAAAGGCTTCGGAGTGCTCGCTGAGGCTTTGACCGAAGAGCACACTGCTCCCAAGCTCCTGATGCCGTGCTGCGTGGACTCATTTATGCCATCATTTTTTGACGCCACTGCTTCGACACAACGTCCAAACCTTTTTCGGCCGTCCTGCGCTGTGCACGATAGCAGCGAGTCACTCAGGCCCATGACGCCTGGAAAAACCTTTGTTTTCGGTTGCTGCCTGTGACTGGCCAAACCGACAACAAAGCAGCACCACCGGCCTACAGCTGTATAGGGCTCGAACGTGCTCGTACAAATAGTACTTGACCTGAAGAACTGGCGCTTGATCGTGTGATGACTCCTCACTGTACACCGTGCTTTCGTTCTTTGCATACAGTCAAGCCAAGTTCGTGGCGGCACCGACTGTGCGTCGCAGCAAGCACCACAGCAGGTGCACCTTGATGAGCTGCTTTTTTTCACAGCCATCCGAGAAGACTCGCATCTGATCGCGAGCCTGCTGCTTGTCTTTCAGGCTGACCCTCTCCAAAGGCCACACGTTGGCTCGCAGCCTGTTCAAGAGATTCTGCCATCAAGGATTTCCTAGCCCTCCGCGACATGCTTGGCCGCTGGCTCTTCCAGTCCGTCTTCAAGCAAAGGCTGATTGGCAGGAGGGGAATCCAACCGAGCCTCATCCTCCGGACACAAGGTCCTTAACCCGAAATCTGCGAAGGAGCACGGCAGCGTGGTGCCTTCGGCATGTCAGAAAGGTACTGCCCAGCCTCGGAGCGCTCTGGTTGCTCTCCAAGCCGAGCCGAGGCCGAGGCCGAGCCGTCGACCCAACTGAAGCCGGTGACACGGCCACCAGCCTCCTTGATCCAGGAGACCCATCGAAGACAGGTCGGCCTGCCAGTGAAATACTAGTGAGTAGGCCTGAATTGGCCGAAAGGGTCCCGGCCTCCTTGCGTGTGGCCCTCTCTCTTCGTCCATTTCTGCCTGCTGCACTGAAGGAACGGCCAAGTGCTGCGCAAACAGCCTCAGCCCCTCACCCGAAGGAGCTTCAGCAGGAGGAGGAAGTCTTGCTTCCGAAGACCCTCGTAGCGATAGGCCAGGAGCGTCAACCTGGCGTCCGATTCTTCAATGCGAAGCTTTGAGACAAGAGAAGTCTTCAGCAACCGCGGCTGACCCGATGGCAACGTCGGGATGGGCAAACTCTGAGGCCGTGGAAGGACAGTCCTTGCCAATGAATGGCACTGCCTCGGAGCTGTGCACAGGGCACGATGCACGTCATGGCATCATGGCTGCAAGATGATGTAAGGGGAATACTCGAGTCGAAATCACGAGTCGAGCTGAGACTGCGTCGAGCAAAGCCCGTCGTGCTCCGCGGCCACGTGTGCTGAGTCCAGCTGCTGTGCTGGCTGCCTTGTGAAATCTCGGGCGGCAAGTGACAAAACAAGCGAAGAGGAGGATTTTGACGCTCACGGCACATGGGGCCCTGGCCCGATCTGGAAGCAAACCATATCGAATGCGATGAGGCAAACCTGTCAATATCCTCTTCGGTCAGCACGACGATCCCTGCTCTTGCACTGTTCCACTGCAATACGTGCCAGTGCATCTGAGCAGGTGTGGGAAGACCTCGGTGGGCAGAGCTTCTGGCAGGTGGGATTTCGTGCGTATCTGGACCTGAGATTCCGGCGCTGTGGAGCAGCTGCCGACCAAGTGTGAGGAGCTTGGTTTCTGCATCGGGGAGCCTGGCACATGGGGAGGGCGAGAGAGGAAGGCATGCTTCGCGCACCGCCTTGTCAAAGTGGGACCACAGCGCCCTGCACGCAAGACAAAGACACGGCATCTGGATAACTTTGCGGTCAACTGAGACCACCGATGCCTTCCGGACCAAAAAATGAGAGCAACTCCTCTCGTGGCACCGGTGTGCGCGGTCCCAGAAAACCTGGGCGACAGACTAGCTGACTGTGCTCACGGGCTACAGGGCATGCAGCAGAACCGCCTTAGGGCCTTGACGCTTGGCAGAGTGTAGACACCAGTGAGAAAAATATTTCAAGCCAAAGTGCCCTCACCGAATGCATCTATGAATCAGCCCTCCACATATGATGTTTCGGGGGGTTCCTGCGAAGCAGGAACAGCAACCGAAAGAAAGAAAAAGGAGGCCCCATCCCTTGGCGTTCCTAAGCAAACAGCGACTCTGGGGCAAAGGACTCGCGAGTTCGGTTGCCAAGAGCGGCAGCAGCCGCACGTAATACCACCTGGCAAAGGTTCACAGTCTGCTACAAAGTGGGCGGAGATAGGATCTAAAGAAAGTACGATCTTCTAAGGCTGCTGATGATGCGCTGCGGCTTGGTGAATCGAGCGCCGTCCAAGGGTTCGCTCCTCCTCCGTTTCAATCTCTCTTCTCTCCCTGTCCCTCCTCCAGGAGAATCCGCAGTTCTGCGTCATGCAGCAGGGTCGTCTTAGTCCTTCTGAGGCTGCTCTTAGCATGCTTCGCCGGATGCTCAGGCAGCTGGCCACGCCTACCGCATCATCCCCTGCATGCTTCTCCATGCTGGTCCGTGAAGATAAAGGATGATCGAAAACCGTGAGTCGTTTGAGGCTGGCTAGCAAGGGGGTCTCCTCTGGGCCCCGCTTGTCCTTCGGTGCCGCAACTGCCAGCAGGTCAATCATAGGGGATGCTGGACATGGCTTCGAATCTTTTCCCAGCCGTACAGTAACTTCCGAATAACACGAAGCGCCGATTGCAACACTGCACTTGTTTGGACATCAATTTTCGGGCTCTGTACCCGCAGTGAAGTCGACTGCGGACTCTGCTGTGCCCCGGCCTTCTGTCCAGTACTACTGGGTTTGGTTTCATCATCATCTTGTGCTCGCGAACACCCGCCTGGCGAAGCACGTGAGTTCAGGAAGCATGCGAATGCTGCAACTGGCAAATTACGCCTCAAATGCCGTGTGGAGACTGCTGCCCATCTCTTGGACAGCATCCACCTGGGTAAATCTCGACACGATCTCTTGCAAAAGAGCCCTGGAACTTGGAACAACACCTTGTTGTCTCACTTCTAGTATCACTAGGACTGTACATGATGGATGGGAATAATCCTGTGTTGTGTGGGGCGGCCGACTTCCTGGATTTGTGTTTTTGTCTGTCCATACGGGTCTGTGGTCGGCACCAGGCATCCCATGATTCGCCACCTCCTGATACGAAACGGCCACTTCTCCAACCGAAGTCGCACGATTCACGATCGAAGCTGAGGCAGCTACGACCCAGACTCTGGGCAGGTTGCCTCTGCAGAACGCCGAGATCAGGATCTACCGTTCATGTCGCACATCATTGTTGCCTTACCATGGTGCGGACAAGTTTCTGTGGCTTCAGCCATGTCGAGCGCGCGAACTGGACCGCAGGGCCAATGCAGCTCGCTCTTCAAAGGGTGCATCACCTTATATGCATGCCGCTGGGCAGGCAGGGTGGATGGATGGTTACAGTCTAAAAACATGTACATGAAGGTGTCGCCAGGTTCAGCGTCGAACCCAGTCAATCTCATCGATCAATGCCGTTGCTCCTCTGAAGAGCTCCAGCATCTTTCTCGCGTTCTGACCGGGTTGGCAAGATGAGTGGACTGGCGGACTGGCATTACTCCGCACTGCCTGACGCCCTTTGACGATCTGTTCGGCTGATTACTCCTGTGCCCATTCCAGCCTGGAGTGCTTCTTCAGCACTGACTTCCGGAAGCTGCTTTGTGCCTGGCACAGCAAGTGCCAACTCGACTCACACCTCCACGACACGATCGAGGCCTCCTTCACCTCCGATGCCCACAGCACCTGAAATCAAGCTGAATTGCAGAGTGTGGCGACTCTGTCCGCCAGCCGACATGGCACTGGGCAACTGATCGGCCACTCCCATGAACACACGAAGTGCAATCGGCCCCATGCTGCAAAATATCTGGGAAAGGCACTCAAAAATCTCCGCATTCTTCCGGTCGCAGTGGCAGCAACAACCGTCGAGGTTTGCTGCCCTGCCAACTCGGCCACACGCAGGAGCCTGGCAATTCGCCCTGCGGTTTGACACGTGGTGGGTAGGATATGCGCAGTTCACGACCATCAGCAACGTGCCAAATTGGATTCTGCTCCCGCTGTTCGGTGCGGACTGTTTCACGCTTTTGGCGAAATCTGTAAGCCCAAGTCTTGCATGGAATCCAAGGCCAATTACGAGCAGTTGTGCGAAATATAAATTCACCTGGCCTGAGTTGCTACAATGTTGCAGCGTCTGATGCATGACTTGAGTGCCTCGTGAGAATGAAAATTTACACTCTCCACAACTCAAAAATGTACTTTCGAAGCAATGCTGAATGTGCTTATGCATGCCTGACTGGCAGGTGCAACATGATGAAGGGTGAGAGCCACCTTGCAACAAGCCCTTTGCCGACGCAAGTATGGTCCTAATCTTTTGAGCGGAACAATCTGGTGGGGCTCACCCTGAGAAGTGTTTGTACAGCATGCGAGGATTCGTATGTACAGTCTGGATGCAAGCGGCGTGAAGCGAATGATGGTGCTGTCCGCATGCCCTTGTGCCAACAGCTGTCAGGGCATGGACACCAATCGTGGAGGTGACTCGTTTCAACCTCAGACTCCGGTCTCGAAGTTTCAGGTCTCTTAACTCTTGCCGACGCCACTTAAGGCTTCAGCCTAGAGGCTTGCGACAGTTCATCGCCTACACCATCCAAATCAAGGTCACGTCCAAGGGAGCCATAGCCTTGCCACTCGTGGGGTGGGCGAACTCTGCATCCCACATCCTTCCAGCTTCTGCGGGCTTGCAGGGCTCATGCGGAAAACATGGCCACTGCAGCATGTGTCCAAAATAGAACCATGGCTCCTGCGTGTCTTGAGCGACAGTGGTCGCGAAACGAACCTGACTGCATCACTGCATCACGCAGGGACCCGAACTTGCGTTCGAAACAGGACCATGTGGTTGATTCCCGTAAACAAACATGCCCGCTGCACCTCAGGCTGTATTGTGCCGAGGTCAGGGTTGAGATGCAACTTTCCTTTCCGAAAAGCTAGATTTGGCCCGGTGGCAAGTCAATGCAACAAAACTGTAGAGCGTCTCACGGTACATTGATCAAACAAGAAATGCAGGAGATTGCCTCCGTCCATCTTGGAACCACAATCAAGATCTGCAGACCCGTTGCGTACTCCATGGCCGCCTCACCGTACCAGCCAACCCTCGTGCGTCAAGTCTTCATGATGTGACACGGCACACGGCTTCTCTGCCTTGCGGAGCCAGAGGTCCAGATGTGACCAGGGAGGATTCAAGTAAACTCGATTGTGCCCACGGGCTTGTGCGAATAGTTTCCAGCTGCAGAGCAATCCGTTGAATGCCTGCAGCACTTTACACGATGGAAATCTATCCGATGAAAGCTACCGCTGCACAGGTCCCTCCAAATTGGCCTGTGGCACAGGCCAGGGACAAGGGTCGCTGGCGTGGTCTGTGGCAAAACGAGACGCATTCATTTCTTGTCCTGAAGATTGCTAACAACACAGAGCGAGATGCTTTCCTGTCTCTTGTTTGGGCCTGCTCTCCAGTCCAAGCCAGTCCAGTCCCGACAGAACCTGCGCATTCAACACGACTACTGAGGTAGCAGAACTGCCCAGCCCAGTATTGTGTATGCTAGCGGTGCCAGCACCACCAGCCAATGCATTTCCCCGAGCTCCCTATGCGGCCAAATTCTTCAGACAAACAAATGGGAACGGCACAATCACGTCGGAATGTGCCAGGTTACCTTTGTACCCGCTGTGGTTAACTGTTAACACTTTACGCCATGAGACTGAGACCTCAATACTGCTGCACTCTATTGCTGCTGTGTCCCTATGCGTCGGAATGCGCATGAAGGGGTTCGCTCCTGGGATTTCTTTCCTGTGGGTTTTAACAGGCAAGGCCATGAAGAACTTTGGCTGCTTCTACTCATGCTACAAGAGGTGAGGACTGAACTGTCTCTAATATGCCTGCCTTCCATACATGTGCGAAGCGATTAGTTTACTCACATTATAAATGGGCTGGTTCTATGCCGGCGCCTGGCACGATTGCCCACGGGTGGGCATGGTGGGCAAGGTTTCTGCCAACTACACGAGATTGCAAGATGCGGAGCTTAGGACGGCACTTGAAGATGCTCTCGCTTGTGAGCCGAATGTCGGTCACCCGGATACCAAACCTGCCAGGGCACTGTGCACCTGGTGAGAAAGCAGCGGCTTGTTGCGCAGCTTTTGGCGACCAGCCGAACATGCGAGAGTAACATGACTGGGCCGTGTCCTGCGATGAGATGAGCAAGAGTTCACCGATGATGTGGGCTTCAGACTATGTGTTCGCCCGATCAATAAGTGCAGTATTAGGTGTCACAGCACAGCAGGCTTGGCCAGTGAAAAAAATCTCACGCACAAAACGGTCAGCTGTCAGGGCCACCTGTCAACTGCAGCGAGCATTTCTGGGCTCGGTATGATCTCCTGACCACGCGCTTCCGAGAGCCGAGGAGCAGAACAAAAATGTTGCATTCAGCTACCACTTCCCAGCACCCCTCCGGTCTTTTCCGGTCCTGCGCGTCACTTCCGCGAGCCAGGTGCGTCAGGTAGTTGTTCAACCTGCGCGGAGAGAAAGCTGAGACTGGGCAAAGGGGGACTCCCAAGCTGCTACAGGCACCTGCCAGCACTCAGCGGCCGACACACGGGAGGTCCTGAAAAACGCATCAAAGTTCTGCGCATCTACAGCACAGCTATGATAAGGGAGCTGTCCTGACTGCCAGCCAGCCCATTCCTTGCAGAAGTCGCGGCACTGCTTCCAGAAATCCTCCACAAAGATCTGGACAAGTTCAATTGGCTTCGGCTCGGAAGGTCGATGGAACGTATCAGTTACTTTTTGCCTTTTGTCGTGCTACTTCACCAGTGGTCTCGTCCGCTTACTGATGACGGCATCTTCTCTTGTGGAAAGTACCGACATTTTTTGGACAACTTTTACGAGCAAGATGAGATTCACACTCCTGTTGGAACATGTCGTGAAGTGTAGTTTATCGGACTGGCCGTCGCATGCTAACGGGGCATACCTCCTGAAGCTGCCCGAGACACATGTTTCCTGCGCTTTGCCTGACCAGATCCTTCAGCATGGCAGCTTATGCTTCTTGTCCTCATCAATGCAACTCTTCCCAACTTGCTCGCATTGCCCGAGCTAAGCAGCTAATCTTGCCATCATTGAATATCATCGAACTCGCTACCATCACCACCGTAATCACAAGGAGCACCATCGCTGCTGTCCCTCTGCAGGCTTCACATTGGAGCGGCCTTTTTGCCCGGGTGCCAGCTGTCCACAAGCCTGCGGAAATGAGCGAGACAAAGCTCGGATCGCGTTCGAGACCTTGGACTGGCACAGCTGATCGCTTATCTTGGCTGTTGTATTCGGGGTAATACTACACTACCAGCAGCCATGATCGTAGTGTTAGCACGGCAGTGTTTGCTCTGGTAACGGCCGGCCCAACCTGAAGTCTGATCAGGGCGATGTGAGATGTCGAGCGTCGGGCAGTGTTTGCGAGACTTCGCACGAATACCAGCACTTGCACGACTAGCACGATGGAAATACTCGAGCTATGCGTCGCCGCCATGATCGATGAGCTTCTGTAGCAAAACCAGAGAAGTTGCAGCCCCCGCACCCTGATAGCAGCATAAGTGGCATACGACAAATATACCACTGCTACGGCAACTCCTACCGTAGCAGTAGCGGAAGCAGCAGCAGCAGCAGCAGCAGCAGCAGTACTCGCACTCGCACTCGCACTCGCACTCGCACTCGCACTGTCAGTACCAGTATCAGTAGCAGCAGCAGCAGCAGCAGCAAGTAGTAATCGAAGTAGTAGTAGTAGTAGTAGTCGTCGTCGTGGTGGTGGTGATGGTAGTCGTCGTCGTCGTCGTAGTAGTAGTAGTAGTAGTCGTCGTCGTCGTGGTGGTGATGGTCGTCGTCGTCGTCGTCGTCGTCGTAGTAGTAGTAGTAGTAGTAGCAGCAGTAGTGGTAGCAGTAGCAGTAGCAGTAGCAGTAGCAGTAGCAGTAGCAGTAGCAGTAGCAGCAGTAGTAGTAGTAGTAGTAGAAGTAGTAGTAGTGGTAGTAGTGGTAGTAGTGGTAGTAGTGGTGGTAGCGGTAGTAGTCGTAGTAGTCGTCGTAGTAGTAGTAGTAGTAGTAGTGGTAGTGGTAGTGGTAGTAGTAGTAGTAGTAGTAGTAGTAGTAGTAGTAATAGTAGTAGTATACAGTATAGTATGACGACGACGACGACGACTGCTGCTACAGTACTGCTGCTACCACCAGCACACTACAGAGTGCACCGCGACAGATACTTGGCACAAGCTTAGCATCCTGCCAATTAGAGTGGAACTTGTCATCAATGACCAAATTGTGTTGGAAGTACTGCACAGCCTGCGGAGCTTCACGAAGATCACTCGACAAGCGACTGCTACGATAGTTGCAGTCACACAAGGAACAGGAGAAGGAAGCCCGCATTTGTGAGGAACCCAAAGACGGTTGTATGAGAACTTCGCCGATCCTGCTCCTTTTTCCAGTCAGGAAGGAGGAGGCCCTGGCGGCTCTTGCTCAAACACACCAGGACGCAACAAAAGACGGCATTGACTGGGACCTCCTCGTCCGACTGTGGAGGAGACGGAGGAGACTTGCTGTTCAGGAACTTGGCCATGATGCGGCACACGTCGTGGCAGACGCCATCCACCTTCAGCTCTGCATGGGAGGTCAGGAGACGTCGCAACGGCCCTTTTTTCCAGGGGGCCTCTGTTGTGGTGATCTCTTCCACCGGTGCCATGGCGCTCGCAGGGCAAGTGCCACGACCGAGGAAGGTGGAAGTATGGCAGCCGTATTGGAAATGCCTGTCAAAGCTACGAAACGGGCGCGCTTTAGCTTGTCGTCTGCCTCGTTTGTCGACCACTGGTCCACAGAGGTACTGTGCTGTACACTACTCCATAGGCTCGCATTTGGGGTGTATCTGCAGACCTGCGCCATCATCCCTCTGACAGCCTGCAGCCCTGCCCGGACAGGAAAGCCGATTGTTGCTGCTGACAGCTGCCCATGCCACTGTGCTGCACGCTCCAACAGGCCCAAGGCACAGCGACCTGAGCTGAGTCAAGTGCTGCTAGAAGCGAAACAGAGGAAAACACGCTTGGCTGTAAACAGTATATTTCACCACGACTCGACTGGCTCAGCCGGCAACTTTATGCTTTGTGGCGAAGCGCAAACGGCGCTGCGCTTTCGTCGCGCGTGCTGCAGTCGATGCAGAAGCTGCGAAGTGACCTTGCGCGGCTGCATGCTTGCCCTGACTCTGCTGATCAGCGACTTGTGCACAAGTCGCTGATCATCCCAAACTCGAGGAGCTGGCTCGTGTCTCGCGGGAAAAATCAAACGTGAGCACCTTCCGCAAGCCGAGTGCAGAAAGAGAAGTGATGTCCTGACGGGGACCACTGAGGGGACCGCAGGAACCCCCAAGCAGGGGTTGCAAAGACGGGCGCGGAGCCTTGGTCTGCACTCGAGTGGAACGCACCGCAAGGGCTGCAAGAGCACTGAGAAGCGCTGCTGACTTCGAGAGAAGGTCAGGAGGCTGGACCTGGGCTGCGGTCACTGCCCTGGCAGTGAAGGAAGCGCCGCAGGAGCCTGAGCTCCAGGCGGGACGATGGCGACGAAAAGACGCGAAGGCCTGCCACTCTCCGAAGGACACAAAGCACACAGCCACAGCAGCTGTGTCATTAACTTTGCCCGGTGGGACGTGGCCAGGAGGGCTGCCGAAATTGGGGCTATCACCTCATTTTGAGGGCATGTCGTTGCAACCCAGGCAGACAAGCGCAGATGCGCCTGTGATAACGGGGTGTTAAAACAAGTTCTCTCGAATGCTGAGCAGAGCACGCAGGTCTTACCACCTCCCATCAGCATCTGGTGAACCCAGCTGTCCTGCAGATCGCTCACATCCGTTCTGGTGCAGATGTGACAAACAAAGAGCCGCACTCACTGCCTCCTTGCCTTGCAAGAACGCTCGCAGCACCTGCAAGTTGCGGACGCGGACACCTGCAACCTCAAGACTCCGGCATGCCTCAACCTGGGTCTCTCGAAGCATTATGCCAAAGAGGAACTCGACAGCCAGCAGACGTGGATCTGTGCACGGCACTTCTACATCTTGCGGGCGGAGGGGTCAAGGCTGCATGCCATGTTAATTCTGCGGAATTCTGCGGAGGTCAGGGGATTCGCCAGCAGATTGAGTCACTGGAATCGACGACAAGCCTAAACTGAATGCGCGTGTGGGCTTACTGGTTTACCCCTCCATACTTTTCCATCATTAGTGACACAAAGGCCCTTGACTTGGAGACGTGCTATCTGATAGCACCTGCAAAACGAATGGCCTGCCCGCGCAGTACTGAGCCCTAGTTCTGCGCATTTCACATCTCTCTTGTCGGAAGACTCGGCTCATAACTGTGCACGACCTCCGAATGCAGTCTGCGTGGGGCGCGCACCAAGAACGAAACCCACTCCGCATGGATTCGGCGCCAGGTAATGCCGCTCCTGACCAGCGTACGTAGTCAATCGCTGAACAAACCGGTGCATGAATCTGCGATCCGGTTCAATTCTCTCAAATTCTTTCGCGGCTGAGTTTGGCACATAAGGAGTTTAGGGTTGCTGGATTCAGGGCTCCAGCCGGAGCCTGAGGAACACCTTTGGCCATGTCGCGATCTTGCATTTTTATCCACTGGCTCTACTGTCAACCGAATCCACCTTAAGTCGATAAGACTAGTATATTCATGCCACTCTCCTATCCTCTGAGCTGTTGCGTCAGGTTTGGTGGACAACGGGAACTCTGGTCAATGACTCCTGTCCGTGCTGGCCAGTATTTGCCGCTACTGTATATGCAGTATGCACGATTTCAACATGAGCTACGCATCTCCGCGACTGAACATCAGCGGAAGGCGCCTTGGCGACTTCGTCTGCTGCTGCTTTGGTCTTCAGCTCCGCAGACCGACCATCCTCAGAGCCAAGAAGAAGACCCAGAATAGCAATAAACGAAGAATGACAACAATCATGTAATGGTAAGGATAATACAATCAGACAGTGTTAGAGACTGTGTCTGCTATCTGCGAACTTGCCCGCATTAGCTGTACTAAGTCGGGGCCAGCAGTCTTGCGCTGGAAAAGGTTCGAACTTGGTGTCTTGGTGGTTGGGGTTGTGTATCTTTGTGGGTTTTGTGGTGGGTTTTCCCTTGGTGAAGATACGGGCGGTCTCTTGAGTGAGGGTAGGGGGCTTCTTGAGTCTTGATTCAAGATAAGGGGACTGAGGAGGGCCGAAAAGGCCGATTGCTGTGTTGGAATGCGGTAACTATGAACCCATCTTCATGAACTGCACAATCCTTAATTTATCAGACACCTTCGGCAACAGCTGCAATGATCGGTAACGGTAGTGAGTATGCATACCATGTGCTAGTCATAGCATGACAAGCACAAAACATAGACCCAGCTCATGCCCTATGCTGCAAGGGCCGGAATACAGGAAAACAAAAACAACCATGCTGCGAGCACAATATGTGCGATGGGGGAAAGGACGTCACGGGATGACATGCAAAGAAAAGAGGCATCAAACAGAGCCATCAGCAGAAATCCATGTCATTCTTGCGCTTCGTCTTCCGCTATTCTCTGTTTTTGCTGCTCCTTCTGTTGCTGCTTCCGCATTTGCAGTTGGTGCTTGGCTTTTTTGTGTTGCCGTCTGTGGTTCTGCGCTCGCTTAAGCTTACACAAACAAGGTGCTGTGCTAGTGGCATACTAAATGGGAACGGTGGAGACGGGAAAGGGCACGGCAAGGAGTTGAGAAGAAGACGAATTGCACAGCCCATGGTCACTTTGCAGTTGACCAATGCGCCAGTCGAAAATGAGGAGGTCGACCAGTGTGTTACGATAGATGACCTAGTTAGTCTGCTCACTGAGCTTTGCTGTACAGTCGTGCCATCGAGCATGATCCCACACCCTTGCAAAGCTAGTTTGCGCTGATCTTGGCTTCCATGGCAAGCAATGACATGATCATGATGCAAGAAATCTTCTTTCCTTTATTCTCCGGAATTGGATGGTGAAGAACCAAGGAGCCTCTGCACGGAGGGCCCGCAAAGCGCAGGCACACTGAGCTGCACGGACCTCTGCATGTCTTCACTATTCTTCGACACTACAGGTCGATGCAGGCATCGCTAAAGTCTTGCCCTGTTGATGAGCGTCACTCGTCACTCGAACGAGGCTTCCTCCGGCCTGCAGCACCAGGGAGTCGGCCACGAGCCTTGGTGCTGACTGGAAAGAACGATCGCAGAAGCCGGATCTTCTTTCTTTGCGTCTCAAGGTCGTGGGGAAGAGACAAAAGATGCTTCCAAGGAGCCCCAGCACCTTGTCCTCGTCGACCCCATGCTTGCATAGAATCTCCCCACCTGAATCTCAGGAGCTTTTCTGCTACCCCTCGGGCCCTGCCCCCAGCTCGGCGAGCTGCCCTGCTCAGCCATCCAAAGACGAAGAAGGCCGCAGAAATCAAGCCGCGGCCTGAGCATTGAGATGGGCGGCTTCGTGGTACATACATGTACATATGTTAAGGATGCCGGGGCTCTCTGCACAAGATCTAGGGATCTAAGCGAAACACTGTGTGTCAGAACGTCTCTGCTAGGCTCCACTAGGGGTACAGTTGCCATTGTTACTGGTCTCCATGTCGCGCCGAGACGATGGCGCGGCCTTTCTCAGTTCGTGAATCTTTGAACAGGGCTGCCACCAAGCTGCGCAAGACCTGCTTTGAGCTGCAAAGCTCGAAGAGCAGATGCTGAGCTGCTTGAAGTCTCCTGAGATCTTGGCATTGTCCGTGCAACCAGTGCATTATTGCTCAACTTAGTGGCTTGTGTTCAATCTCCTATCACTCAGATTGCGATATGCCTGAGCTTCAGCTGAAGGCAACACACAGCTTGCCCGTGAATACAACAGCTGGTGAAGGAGCCGCTGCTTGCCGCAGAAACGTGTTTCTCTGTTCCAGGCTCTAGCTGGAAGCACTTGAGCTATGCAATAGATCGGCTGGATTGCCAGAGAAACACAGTGGGCAGCTGGCTGCTTTTTCGACACATAGCCGCCTGTCGGCCAACTAATCGCTTGGAGGCCGTCTTCATGCATTGACGAGGCTCATGGACAATTCACAACCCCTAGACGCATCTCTGCCCACTTCAGTTTCAGCGAGCGGTTGTGCCTCCGAACTACAGCTAATTTCCCTCAATCCTACATCCGGAAAGGCGTTGTGCATGCAGGAGGCAGCAGCAGCTTCCTCAGCAGCTGTGATGGCCTGCAGAAGTAGCGTCCAAGGCTGCATGAAACGGAGCTCAGAGAACCCGTGTGATGTGATGATAGGGCCGAACATTCTCCCATGGTCATGCGAGTGAGATATCTCGACCTGCAAAGGGAGTGAAGGAGCGCGCGGGCCTCTGCAGCTTTCCTTCGATCCAGTTGCAGCTGCCTGCAAGCAGCAAGCATAGCTGCCCCAACGCATCTTGTACCCCCCACACGCGTGTACACCATTCATGCTAAATCAACCCCGCGCACTACACAAAGCACACCCCAAAACCAACACGAAGATCCGTAACACAACCCTACACACAGAGCACCTCAGCAACCCTTATCCGTTTTAAAGCCATTATCCAAACGAGATTTAACAGGGTAAGCGACCCTTGACAAACAACTAAGACTGCACCACTGCACTGGGAAATGATGCCCGAATAGGATTGCACTAAAATTGCTTCGCAAGATGTTGCACTAGTTGGTTTCTATTCCATGTATCTATTGCCGTGTTCTCCTATTTGGTCGTTTAACCTACCCCGACGTACATGGATGTGAGTCATTCCCTCCTGTTCATGTTGACTGAACATTAACTGATAAACTCACTATCATATTACGCGAATATTTCTCGCAATGGTTTTTGTGAAAAACGGAGTTAATTTAACGACGATTTTGACTGCGACATGATTGGCGAGTAAGAATTCCCGCCAGCTTCGCGATCATTACACATGTTGTTCGGAGTCCAATACTCCACTGACAATTTTCTTGCCAATCGCGGCTTTCTTTGGTTTCTTCTTGGCTGCCTTGGCTTTATCCCGCTTGTCTTTCTTGTAGGCGGATGCCCTTGACAAATTTTTTTCTTCCTAACAACCACAGCAGAGCTGGAGCTAGGCCTAAGCCTTGCAAAGTCCACACCAACGTCGGCTAAAGTTTAACGGACCTCTTCGGCGGCAGCGCCTACAGCACCACCGTCGCCCGTCGAAAACGAAATCATGCGAGGGATGAACGTGCCATTCTGCAAGCGCCCTCGCATCACCCCACGCCAAGCAGCTCCTCTCGCTGAGGTGACTAGCTTTAGGCAAGGTGAGCGCCCTAGACAATCGGAGGCCGCAATTACTGCAAGTGACCCCGCCTTTATAAGACACCCAAGCATGTCCGCCGATCCGGCTCCCAAGGAGCCGCCGATGAAGGTTGATTCTGCGCGGCTTGGTGGAGGGGCACTTGGCCGGAGGTTTGGGCAACTGGCTCTGAACAGCCTCTAACACCGCCACTTGGAAGGTGAGAAGCTTCTCAACTCGGCCATCAACCCAATCATTGACAACACGATCACCGGAATGCACCAACTGGGAAGCACGCGCAGTACTCAAACTGTCTGCAACTTGATTGGCATGAAAGGCCCACAACCGATCAGCTCCATACTTGAGCAGAAAAGCCTTCTCGGACATGTGCGCCTTGACTTTGTGCACGACGAGCCTTCGATCAGCCGAGCTATCGGCAATGTCTTTCCAAAGGTCAGGATGGGTCATGATAGACCCCGGGCGACGCGCTAACACCTTACGGGCACCACGCACAACATACTGAGCATCAGAAGCAAACTCAACATCACCCGAAGTGACCTGCAGGCACAGCCGGAGGGCAGCTGCTTCTCCGTAAGGTACCGTTTGGTTGTGGCTGTCAACATTGGCCACCATGGTGCCAACGCAGCGCCACTCAGTGTGTTCAGCATCCCATTTGACTGCGACAACAGCATAGCTGACCTTCCGCAGGCGACGATCTTTAGTAAAGGGCCCACCCGAAGCATCGCCAGCGAAACGAAGACCTTCAGTGGGAACAGGGCGCCTAGTGAAGACACCTGTGCATTCAAGACACAGCTGCGGAAGGTTCAACATGGACGTCCAACCCGCAGGAACAAGACAAGCTCGCCAGAAACTGGCCTGTTTGCCAGGCTCACGAAGGAAAGGCTCCCAGCTAGGACTGAAGGGGGCATCAACAAGTTCACGCACTGGCCTACAGTCAAGAAGCCAATGATGCAAGCTCATGTTCGCACCGCACAGTGGGCAAACATCAAACAACATCGACAACTTCGACAAATGACCTTGCAAGATTAAGCTGATGCTGTTAGCGCTGCGCCTCTCACCCTGTTGGAGGAGTTTCTTCACGAGGCGTTTTGGCACAGTCAAGTCAACACGGTTCGCAACACCTTCAAAGAGAGAGGACTCACTGACTTTACGCCACTGTTCTTCAGCAATGGATTCGGCTAACGCTTGCCAGATAAAACTAAGCGCAAAAGGGCAGGCGTAGTCAAACTGCCAATTTCGGCCATGCGGATCCAACCAACGATCAACTGCAAGTGGGTTCCAACCGTGATCAAGCAACAACGCCTGAAAAGCAGCCAAGGGACCCTTCACAACCTGCCAGCGATGCTTCGCCCGACTGAGCACGCACAAGCTCTGTTGCCAAACAGTTTCAAGAAATCTTCTCGTACAGATTTTGGCATTGCCCGCAAGCCGCATCCAAAGCTGCAGCTGCTGTTTTGCTAAATAAAAGAGGGGGTCTTGATCCCTCTCCCAATGCAGCGACATACCTATGTGGACGTTTCCAAGACCAACACGACTCCCAGTAACTTTCGCAGCAGTGCAACGAAGGCGGTGGAAAGCACTGGGCGAGGTACCTAGATGCTGTTGGCCCCAAATTCGGGCCGGGAACACATTGGTGCGATATAACCGCTGACGAGATCCGCGTCCAAACAACCGCAATCGGAACAAGCGCTTGCCGGCCTTGGCCAGTCGTGACTTTTGCGCTGGCAGCCTGCGCTTCCGGGCTAGGGTGCAATCCAATCCAAGATCTTTCATCACGTCATACACTTTAGGAGTCTCCTCCGGCAGTTTCCGGAGCAACCGGCGCAGTTCAGTACGGAGCTCTTTGCTGCTAACAACGAAACCACTTTTCTCAACGGACATGCTCAAACCGAGGGGCTGCAAGCTGGTGACAAAGTCTTGATAGCAACACACCATGTGTCTAGCAGCGGTTTTACAACAACGGTTTGCGGTATCCAAACCGATGTCATCCACCCAAGTGGTTATTTCATGAGGACGCTGCCGCAGGGTCAGGTCACGAAGCAACTCCCAAAGATACATCTTCGCCATAGTGGTCGCATGCGGGCATCCCGCAATAATACCCCGACAAGGGTGCAGAGGGTCACTGCAAATTTCATCGGCGACCAGCACTCGCGGTGCGGCGTAAAACAGGAGGCAGTGATGAAGAACCAAAGGCGGGAACCCCAGGTCAAGAGCCTTGGATGCGAGGACACTCAAGTCAATGGCATCATAAAAGTGCTGCAGATCGGACAGGAAAGTCGCCATGTGCATGCCTGCGACACCGAGGATTTCGGCTTTGAGCTGGCGCTTTGAAGCAGCATCAAACACAGTGGATCCCGCAACAGCGTGATCCCACGTCGCTTCAACACCTTTCTCTTTTTGCCAGCGCTGCACAAGGAAACGACGCATCTTGCACCAAGCCCGAAAGAAAATCGACAGTAATCCTATCGGTCTTTCAGCCTTCAGGGTTTTGGGCAGGCAGGCAACAAGAACACAGAGCATTTGCTGGGGCCATTCGCCGACATGCTCAATCCGACCATAAAGCCATGCTAGCGCCGAGAAGGCCTCAATGGGCAAAGACTGCAGATCTTCGAAATGAAAACCCTCAAGGCCAGGACGCTTCCTGGCCATTTCATGAAAGGTAATGCTGATCTGCCGACTGGACAAGGGTTTCAACTGGGCGGCCTGCTCACTTGCTAACTGTTTGAGTTGCTCAAGTTGCGCCTTTGGGAGGTGGTCCCCTTGTCTCTCTCCCCAAAGGCCAGCCCAGTACTTGCGCCTAGCAGGAGCCTGATCCGTGAGAGGCAGCCGCTCATATGGCCGAAGGGGCACCTGGTCTGACTTTTTCAGATAGCGGTGAGCCTCTCTAGCGGCCCCAAGCACAGCCCGAGCTGCCCAATTGCGTATGGACTCACGCTCATCCTTCAAGGACTGTTGCTGAGCAGCCTTGGCGATGGCTTCAATTTGCTCATGCGCATCCTGCCGCAGCTGTGGGCTTGCAGAAAGCCAATTGTACACGACCGCCTGGAGGCTACTAGCGGGAAATCGACCGTCATGCGGCAACCAACGCACAGTCATCAAGGGCACCATGCCAACAACACGTTCAAACACCTCCGCGGCCTGGCCGGACCACTGATCTTTTGCGAGGGCGGCATTCAGATACCCGCACCATCTAGCGAGGATCATCCAAAACCCCACGGTGCTATCTTTCCAAACCTTGCCTTTAGTCGCAACGCTCACCTTAGGCTTCTGCGTGAATTTCAGATTGCAACCTCTGCCCGTCTGTGCAGGCTCAGGCTGGGTGGCTTGCAGGTAACTCTCCGCTTGTTTGGCCCATGAGGCAAATTCGCGACTAAGCTCACATGAGCAGCATGGGGGTTGGTCCACTCCAGGCAACCACTCCACATCTACTTCTCGCGCAGCATAAGCTGACCACGGAAGGGTTGGTCCTTGGAAACGTACAATGGGTTTGTACCGAGTTAACGACGGGAGCAACTGCTGCCCAAACTCCATGGAAACGTTCACCTGCAGCAGGAAATGTGGTGACCACGGCACTTCCTTTTCGGCCTCGACTCTACAAGACCCATGCAGTCTGTTATCAAGGATGGCGAAATCAATCTCACGACCACCAAGAAGAGTAGGACCTCCAGTTGCAAGCAACTCTCCCTGCAGAAGTCTGGGGAGTCCAAGGCTGACAACATCCTCCGGCGTGGCATTCCAATCACCAATGGCAATCCAAGCACAACTCAAAGCTCGCACTGCAGCCATGAGCTCATGCAGAACATCACTGTTAGGCGGGTGGTACAGCCGGGTGTAGACTTTCAAATACACCGCGAAGATTGCAAGGTCGTGCCCATGCAGTCGCATAAATACCTGTGTCCAGCCTGCGCCTTGGACCTGGCAGCTCAAGCCTTCAGTATGGTCCAGATGGCGCCGTACCAGGATGGCTGTACCTCCGCTGGTGCCGCCTTTACCCGTTTCCAAAGCTGCCTGGCCATGCACTGTCCAACCACTGTGGTGGAAATCTGCCCTGAGGCGTTCAAGACTGGGAGGTCGCAAATGGTGTTCCGCAACCATCTGGACCTTGACCCTTTCACCAGCCAGTTTGAGGTACTGCACAGCCTTACCGCTGAGGCTGGTGACATTGGCAAACCGTATACACCAAGTGTCAGTTCCAACTGCTTCAGCAGACTGGGACTGGCTTGATGCAGGCCGCCATTGAGAGCCCACCCCAGGCGCGGACCTGGCGCTCTGGCAGGCTGCGACGAGTCGCCTCAAGTTTTCTGAGCTAGGTTGCAGGAGCAACCTCATGCACCGGCCTTGTATTTCAGGACTGGAAGGAACACCCAGTAGCCCCCGACCCAGCTGCCAAGCCAAGCTGACCTGGGTCCAAAATTGTGCGGTGTCTTTCCGGGACAACTGCCTGCTACCCCAACCGGAAACCGCCCAAAGGCGCATCGTAGTCATCCGGGTCCGAAAAATCCATTCGGCGCTTCTTCCGGTGCAAGTCCGCCTGGGCGCACCGCCGAAGAAGTGTCTCCAAGAGCTGTTTCTGATCCTCCGTTTGGAGAGCCCCTTGCAACTCCTTAACCTGGTCCTGAAGCTCGACATCAACGACCATGTCATCCGGCTCCCCTGGTCTGCACCCATACGGCTCGAGCTGCCTCGCAACAATCTGTTCGGAATATTGCTTGGTGAGCTCATCCATTTTCTCCTGGGCGTGAACCAAATCCTCCTGAATTTTGCGCAACTGGGCTTCCTGCTTTTCCAGCTGCACCCTAGCCTGATTAACCCGGTGCTCTCCTTGGAGTTTCTTCTGACCGAGATCCCGCAGTACACCGGCTTGAGCTTTGAAAGCTTTTGCCAACACTGCATCGGGGTCATCAGGTTGGGTTGTGTCGGCGCCGGCCGCTGGCCGAAGCATCTGCTGGAGAGGCTCCACGGCTCTTTGGAGCTCTTCTGCCTTGTCCCCGCCAACTTTGCAGACTGCATCCAAGACTTCAAGCAGCAAGGTTCGGTAACTGTCAGGGAGTTGTGACTGACAGGCGTGCCCACGTGATGCAGCATCCTGGCCCTTGAAACGGGTGTGCGTCCCTGGCTGCTCAGACCAGGTGGCATCCTGCTGCCGCCGGTGCTGCTGGGGCCTCCATCCCCATGCGTTGTATGCAGCTTTTCTTGTGACTTGCCGTGCACCTCGCCCCACCCAACTCTGTCGCCCCCCCATGAAGGGCTGTCCACACTGACACACTGGATGAGTTGGAAGGCGATCAGTGAACAACCAAGAATTGCAAGCCGCACACACAACATAGCTACGCTGGGCCATGGGCCTTGGGACACCTACCCTGTCTTGCAAGATTTCGGGCACTTGGACCGGCTCTTGAGCCAAAATGGCTATGCCCTTGACAAAAATGGCCGCTAATTATTGCGGTTCTGTAATGCGCCTGCGATATGGTAATACGTACCAAGAGGGACTGTACAATTAATCGAATTGTGTTCCGAATTCGATTGCTGGCTCTGATTTGGGTTGAAGCCGGATATGTTGTTATGGCATCAGTGGCAGGTTGTTTGAGAAATGGGGCAAGAGTGGGGTGGGGGTAGAGGATGTGAGATCTGGGGATACAGTAACCGAAGCAACACAAGTTCTGGCCGGCTGGACTGTTGTGGTTTGAAGGGCAGCTGATACAGCCTCTGCAAAGTCAAAGTCAGTTCCTGGATGTGGCCACGCAGCGCCGGCACCTTCACAGACACACAAGGCGGCTAGATACGCGTGCTTGAAATGGATCCCTCAAGATGAGGGCAGACACCGGCAGACCGTTTCAGGTGGGCATAGAAAAACCTATGGGGTCGGAGACGACTCGTCATGGAAGGGCGAAATTCTGTCAATGGGGTTCAGTGACACTGTTGTTCGAGTACTGTATTCTCTTGAAGATCTTCGGGAAGCCCTCTAAAAGGACCCCATGATCTAGAACATGCTAGAAGAGGCGTTGGGCCCGCAAAAGGCTGCACTCTACAGCCTGGCCTGGACAGTCGCCTGGAGTTCCAACATCGACTCCTCTAAGCGCTTGACCTGAGCGAGCGCAAGCATCCTGGTTACGTGCAACACCTTACTGCATGCCGCCACATGCCCTATGCAGACATAAGCATGAGCCGGAATCTCTTGATTCTTGGAGCAGCGACCCATCTGGCTCCTCTGGACGTGCAGCGTTGGTCTGCCTACGTCGGCAGGACAGACTTTGCTTCCGCTCTTTGAATCTCAGAAAGAGCCGTGGAAGGCGATAGGCGGCCTGGATCTCACGCAGAAGCCACGGTGCGAGGGCCTGGCACCGGCACGCTGTGCTCAGAACGATTTACAAGGAGCATGAGAAATTCAGACTGTGAGTCTTGGCGCAGCACTGGGGCACCCTGAGTCGTGGTAACAAGGCTGAAGAATGATTCGCAAATCTCCTGGCAGTACCAGTAGCAGCTTAAGCAGTGTACAAGCAGCAATCTTCCTACACCTCACAAACTGGCATGTGACTCGGCCTTCAGTGGCTTCCGCAAGGCCGCAATACCCGAGACCTCACGAAAGCAGCAGGCGGAGAGAGACAGAGAGAGCGGGAGCGGCAGATCCACGAACGGTTCAGAGACTGATAAACAAATTCGCACTAGTGGAAGTTGTAGAAATACAAGGATGCCTGTGTCTTGTGTTTCGCATGTGACCTTCCAATCTGACCACGATTCTTCGAGCTTCTTAGGGCTGCATTGGGTGATAGTTCGTCTCTCCACCGCATTTGTCAATGATCTCATTGAATTCGGGTGCGGCGCTGGGAAGCGAAGGAGGGGGTTTGTGCGATTGAGGAGGCTTATGGACACCATGCGACGCACTCTGATCTTCCTACGCTGCAGGCCAAGCAGACAGGGCGCACCTCCGCGCTGCCAGCCGCTAGCAGTAAGAACAGATTGCAATACAGTGATGAAAGTGGTCAGTTTAGATCTGGCAACCGGGCTCCAAGCTGTGCGCATATCACAATCCGCAACCTGCACGATGGGCCAGGCCTTCCGCAACTTGCTTCCAAGCTCCACGAAACCGGGACGAGTACTCTGACAGAGATTCTGTCTGAGCCAGAGCTCTTCAAGAAAGCATGGCTTACACTCTGAGAGCAGGGCTGCGAGTCGCAGAGCACCGTGCTGCAAGAGGACCTTCACACAGCAAAGACTGCACTGTGAAGCCTGGAGTTTTCGTGCACCTCTCGAGGAACTGCTGCCGGCGCCGGCGGCTCAGGCAAAGGACTGCTCCGCACGGCCGATGCCAACTTTTCTCTAACCTGACCGAAACTCGAAGAGTGTGGAGGTGTTGGGGCCCCTGTCGATTTGCACAGAAGGCCTCTTGCAACCATCGCTTGTGCGCTGCGGTGGGAAGCAGACCTTGCTTCTTCGGCCTCCAGGCGTGGAAAGCGGAAATGGCCGAAACTAGCGCATTCTTTAATCCGATGACAACGGCTTGATCGTTTTTGGCAGATGGGCACATCTGAAGCCCACGCGCTTTGGGGAGCTTGTCCACAAGCCCTTCGTCACCTGGAGACATGCGGACAGGGGACATGACGCAGGATTTCTAAACATTCTGTCGCGGCACGCGCAAGAGCTGCTAAGGCCGCAGAAGCTGGTCCATAGGCCCGGGCCTTTTGTGCAGTCTGGGCGTTGAGATCTTCAAACAATGGGAAGCAAAGGATGCGGCCAGGCAAGCAGCGACCAAATGAGGAGCATCATCTGGAAAAGGCTGCAATGAGGTCACCTTACCATGCTCAAACACGAAGCTTAGGAAGTCTCCAAGCATTCGGCGGAAACTCGGACTGGGTTTGGGTGGATTCATCTCGCAGTAGTGTCTTGATATCGTCTTCATACTGCGAAAGGTGTGTGTGATGATCCTGTCTCTTAGCACTCAGCATCTGGAAGCTTAACCTCTTGGCACCGAAAGGCGGCTCACTGACCAATTTCCGACCCGACTTATGCTGTTGCTGGTGCGAGGATGTCTGAGGGTGCGCATGACCAAGTATTTTTTTCTTTGGGAAGGCAGGCAGCTGGGGCGGCCAGCTTTCCATCTCCGGGTGGCTGCAAACAGCCTTGGGCTCGGACGCGCGTGAAGATCTCAAAGGCTTGCTGTAGCGAGAAAGGCCCGGGTGAAAGCCTGCTCTCCCGGACTACCGGCCCCTCACTTTTGAGCAGGACTTAGGTGTTTCTGTGCTCCCCGCTGCTGCTCAATGAAGCGAAGGGCTGAAGGGCCACTGCGTGGGTGTTCCTCCGGCCGGGGCCCATGGCGCTCTGAGATTCTCGGGCTCTGCTGCGTTGCTCCTCTGCCGATGGTGCCAAGCCTTAGCTCCACAGTCGCTGACACTGAGACCAGGGAAGGACTCTGCGGCCGCAGCTGATCGCCGAAGTCCATTCAACCGCTGAGGTCTCAGAGAAGACTTTGACCTCATAGCCTGCGAGCTCCAATGCCACGCACCAGCATGATCTGGCTTCGATTGCGAAGACCTCTCAGTCTGGGCTGCACACCGTCGCCGGGAGCAAGGGGTGGCGGCTCCAAGCATACGAGAACCTTATTCATTCAATGCATCTTACTTTCCACCCGCCCGCCCACATGGTCAAGTATTTTAATTTTGGCTCCGTGCTGTTGCAAGGGGTACGGCAGTGCCCGTGGCTTGGAGATGCTTGGAACCCTGCGCCACTCTGTGCCTCGAGGATGCGCCGGCGGTTGCGCAGGAGCCAGCTGATGCCATCCTCAGGATTCACAGGACCGGCGTCATCCTGAATGCCCGGCTCCTGTGGCATCAAGAGACAAGAGAGTTCTGCCTGAAGCTCAGGAACAGACCAGCTCCGGCACCATCTTCAACACCTGTCACAGGACCCAGTCCACAGGGACAGCACAGAGCACTCGTAGATCTCCCTGCAGCTCCCTGCAGCCTGCAGCTCCAGCTCCGGCGTCAGGAGGCAGCTTGCTGAGCAGTGATGGCGGTTGAGCAGAAACCTCGGTTTCTGCATTGGGTTTAGGGTATGACTGAAGAAGAACAGAGCACGTCCCAAAGCATGTTGAGGCACAGGCTGAACGTAGGCATCCCTCACGGACCACGGAGGTTCTAAACCTGGACGACTCAGGGGCAGATCTGCATTCCCAGACATCTCGTCAAAGCAGGAGGCAGCCTAAAGGTTGCAGTGCTGTGGATAGATGAAGGCGGCACGCTTGGGCGTCCACCTGAAGCTCTGGAAGTCGATGCGCTCTCAGCTGGGCTTGGGGTCGCAGCATGCTGATCGTGGGCCGTCTCGCTGCCGAGCTGTGACCACAAGGCGGCCTGGAGTGGCTATACAAATGCCAAACATGCCATCTTCTTCCCTGGGTAAAGAGCCAACGGGGCCTCATGGGAGGTGAGAGCGTCGCAGCCTAGAGAGCTGGCTGATCGCACCACCTGTTTCAAGAAGGAGGGGCGAATCCCTTAGTTTGGAGCCTTCACACTCTTGCTTATGCCTCGTCGTAGCGGTGCATAAGCCAGCAGCAAGTCAGGCGGTAGAGCTCTGCCGCGAGGTCCTGCAGAGCGAAAAAAAAAGCCAGCAGCAGCTTCGGGGAACGTGGAGAGAAGGCCTGCGCTTGCGCGTACGTCTGCGAGGAGTGGAGGGAGAAGAAGTAGTGCCCGGGCCCGGGCGAGCCACTGCCTAGAGAGCTCAGGAAAGAGCGAAACCACAGGATTTTTTTGCGAAGCTCAGGCTGAGGCCCATCCGGTTGCTTCGATCAAAAACCAAGGGGGCCCCCCATTCCACGGGGGAAGGCCTTGGGTGCAATGGAGAACTTGTTGGGCTTCCTTGCCGTTGCTGTGGGATTGCTGGGGTCTCCGAAGAGCCGACCCTCCAGCAGGACGCCGCGGGCGCTGCAGCGCAGAGCACAGGACGGCCAGTTCACCCTCCTCGCCCTTGGACCGTTTGACTTGGAATTCCACAAATGTTGAGCACTCTGCTGAAATGAGAGCTCGACCTGTAGAAGCAGAGCTGCACCGCCGAACTGCTGCAGTCGATGCCGGACCTCTGAGCAGGTGGGAAGCAGCTGGCCGGGGGCACTTCTGCGCGGCAAGCCGAAGGGTCCCAGCTTTGCTTGAGACCGACTGCTCCGCCAGGCGTGCTTCGGCCGCGATGCCTCAAAGGCATCCCTGGACGCCCCTTCGGAGATTCTCGCGCGAGCCGAGGCACTGAGGCCGCCAAAGCCCAGGCACTCCAAACAGCCCTGGCGGTTGACCTGCTGCGGCGCAGCTGCGGCTCAGCTGCACCGGTGCGCAGATGATGCACCGGACGTCTAAACGCGCCTTGAAGTTTAGTCCGAGCCGCGGCAGGGCCACTTCTGCCACCCGACCTAAGTAAGAGATCGACTCGATCTTTAGCTGCTGAGGGCCTCTGTGCCATCATATCGAAGCACTGATAGCAACACTGCCTTGCTCGTCTGCCCAACAGAGAATGAAGGCCAGGTCTTCTATGCGTGTCAGCACGTCAGCCTGCCCCAGCACGGTAGCTGCACTGACCCGCTGGAAGAAGATGCCTTTCTTTCACCTTATAAGCCTAACTCTCTTCCAAACCAGCGGGGGCCCACCAGGTGCCGCAAAGGAGAGTCGCTCTGGCTGAGCATGAGGTTGAGCAGCAGCTGCCTGGCGAAGGACGGTCTTGGCCGGGGCCTGGGGGTCCCTGCCAAGTCGTGCCGAGCACTCCAACCTGTGGGGCGTCTGCCTGGGTTGAGCTGCATCCACGTGGCTGGACGCCCTCAGCACTTGGAGACCAGAGGTAGCACGCCGGGAGCAAAGGGAATCCGGCAGATACCGCCAGACTCTGACCCGGTCGTCGTCAATGCGTTCCACCTTCGGAAAGCAACTTACTAAGCTCTTTTTGACTATGGGCTGCTTCTGGAGTCGACTTCAAGGGCGAATCCTAAACTCTCTGTCCAGCTCGCCTGCAGATGCTGACCAGGTTGTGTTGGGTGCCTCTCCTGAGCATGGCAGACAGCTGCCTGACATTGCCTAATTAACAACTTTCCGAAGCAAATTATCCAGCAGTCCTCTCCACGCAGAAGTCCATCGGTGCCCCTCCAGAATCGAAAAGTGCCTTCCCGTCCGGGATGTCTTCTCAGATGAGAGGATGCTTCAAAGGCCCTTGGACCCACACGTAGCAGGGTCTCGGGGAGGAGGCCTCTCATCAGATCAGACCTTGTCTGTCGCTAAGTCGGCACAGCTGGATCCTGCTCGTTCCGAGTCCGTGGCGGAACGAGCGCCTCGAGTGGAGTGCAGGATGCTGTAGGGATTTGCATCCGACTGTGCCCTCATGAGATTGCTTTTGGCACCTCCCGCACGGCCTTGCCTTCCTCCTGTGCGCAGAAACCCTGGCATTTGAGCGGAGAGGCTGAAGCAAGTTGCTGGCATCTACAGCGCTCACATCAACCTCCTGTCCTGCAAGTCCCTCTGGATGAGCACGGTCTCTTTGCTTCCGGGTGCCGGCGGCTGCTTGCCGGAGGAGCCAGGGACTCCTAAGTCACGTCAGCAGCTCCCAGAACTAAGGTGGCTTCAGGACGTTCTCAGGCCACACTGAAAACTGAGGTCATGAATGCCCAAAGTGCATTACTGGGAAAATGCATGCATCGTGCTCACGCAGTACACTATGCCAGACGAGACAAGCCACACTGCGAGATCCGGAGAATGCGTCAAACCCCCCAGAGGCTCAGCTTCGCCCCCCCCCCCCACGTGAAGTTCGCAGGCTGAATATCACCTGTTTGATGTCTTCATGAAGCTTCCAAATCAAACTAATCAAAAGCCCGCCAACGAAGACAATTCGAGGATGAGTCTGGATCACATGGGCCGCGTGAGGTAGACAGTCGCAGCATGAACTTTCCAAAGCCAGTGAATGGGACGACATGGAGCGATGTCAGTCTCTTGGCTTCCGCAAAGCACGGCAAAAACAGGGTCGAGCCCAACTCCAATGCTGGCTCTCGAGGAAGAGTGCGAAGGAAGCTTCTGAAGTTCTCGTGGAAATGCCAAGAAGGTTCACGCAACTGTCGTAAGGAAGCAACGGTTGACGACTAGGACTGAGAAAAAGTCCGGTGTGTGTGAGAGCGACTGAGTGTGCGAAGGTTGCATGTATCGCACGCGGTTCTCTCTTCATTCGGCAGTCAGGTGACCGGACTTAGCACGCAAACTTTGCTGCAGAGGTGGTTCTGAAGCGCACACCGAACAGAGTGGAAGGTGGACGCTCGAAGCATACTTAGCCTTTAAGCCTTTGACATTTGTGCAAGGAGGCCGCTGAAGCAAAGCACAGAGGCCACTGCCCCCATGTCCAGAGCAGAGGCACCAAATGCCCGACCTCCCGAGATCGACGCTCTCATCCCTGAATGTCCAGCTTTGACTCGGCCGAGGTGCCCAGAGGTCCAGGGCTCCTCACCGCAAAGCTCTTAGACACAGAGTCCCAAAAGCTTCCGACTTGGCAGTCCTGCGAGGCAAAGCCTGTGAAGCACCAACAGGCATCGCTGGTCCATCGCAACCTTCGAAAGACCATTCTCGCCTTACTATGCATTGAAACGAAAAAGCGCAGGATGGAGCAAACGTGTCATGTAAGCGGGCAAGGCGTGTGCGATGCTTCTAGACGGTCGCAGGCAAGCATGGCATCTCAGAGGATCACGTGCGAGCACTGCTCGAAAACTTGCACCACAGGAGGATCTCGGAGCACGATCACCTGCCATTCTGGTAGACCATGGTATATCAGACGTGTCTTACAGTATGTTAAACTACTCAAACCTACATTGCAGCAACAAGTTTGAACGAGTTTCGACTAGATGAACGCCTTGCCCCATGATGAAGGCACCCGTCTGACAATCCATGCAGGACAGGCGATGGCAACGCAAGATCCTCTAACATGAATTGCTTGCGCACCTCAATGCCCTCGACCTCGCAAGCAAGACGTGCCATCCTCCACAGGAAAAGGGCGACACTACAAAGGAGGACAGGGTACTACAGTATGGTATAATCCATTATGACATGCTATGTACATTATATTTGCCATAAATGGCACGATGTGCTAAACTACCATACTACACCATAGTATGGCATACTAACATAATTTGGTACAAGTTACCATTATAAACAAAACTCGAATGACAGGTGCGGGTCCTCTCCGAGCTCCCGAGCAGGCGACTGGCGCCCAAGCCTGTGGGAAGGCCTGCGGCCAGAGGCTGATGTTAAACCCTAAACCCTAAATATCCCTTTATATATATACATACATGCACATACACATACACATACACACATATATATATATATGTATGTATATCAAATGCACCTATACGGCATCCACGTATATGATGTATATTGTATATGATTGCACTAATTCAATTCGATATATTTGCAAGATACGATCAAACCTCTACTTGAGATTGGTTGTTCCCTCCACCAACCATCCTCCAGTCTCAGGTGTTTGATAAGCCATTGTTGATGGCAGAGTCGGCTGGCACGAACCAATTACGCAGTAGAAGGCACAAAAACCAGCAATTTCAGAAGCTAAAGAGTCCGGGCCGGCATTCCATGCAAAGCAGGTCAAGACGGCGACGACTGATTGGGATACATGCGGCTGCAGGGCACACCAAAGAACAGACAAGCTGAGAGGCCTCCTGCCGCCTTCACCTTGCACAGCAGTGAGAGACTGAGAATCAATCACTGTGAGGATTGCAATGAGCTCCTGGCGGCTTCGTCAAGCCAGGAACAGCGAGCCCCACGGGCCTGGACTCGATGCTTTTGTTTTTTTTTCTGTTTCGGCTTGGAAACTGATGATTAATACGGATCAGTACAACTAGACGAGAACTTATGGTTTGGTGCGAAGACTGTTGCAGCTGTGTCTGAGGCTCGCGCAGCAACAGGGTTCGGCCAGGGCCGCGGATCCGGCGTCCAGTGGTGCACGTCGCATCCTTACATCCAACACACAGCCATAGTTTCAGAATGCAATTACCCTAAACCCTAAACCCTAACATAGCCGACCGAGGCTTCAGCTTTGGCCGGCGAGATTGATGCACTCGCGATGCTCGGTTCTCTGTACGAGACCTGCTTCAACTAGTGCTGACTCATCATCACTGCTGCGCACATAGTCTACCGAAAACAAAACAAAATGCTAAGTTGGTTGTTCGGCAAGCTTGTTGCGTTGTCTTTGTTTTTTGGTTCAGGTGCTGTGTCGAATTTGTACCATGTAAAACATCGCCCAGCTGGCACAAACCATTCTTGTAGTTGTGACTGCATAGGTAGTGCCGTTTTCACGGCCACAGGACGGCTGTAGATTCCGACGCGGGTGATTCCTGCCAAATGGGCTGTGAAATAAGCCGGTCGCATGACAACGCAGCAACATGCCCGAGGTCCATCTGTACGTGCCGATGCAGCACGTCCTCGAATCAAGAGGCGCGAGCTCAAAGTACTGAGCCAATGGCTTGAGAGTATGCCGTGGAGTTCGGATGACTCTCCAAAAGCGTCTTGAAGCTCTGGAGAGGTGGATGCCCAGCCTGGCACATCTGACGTGCAATATCTGAAGTTGTTCTTACGAGCACCACCATTCTCCCGTAGGCTTCCGGGTGTCAGATCCAGAAATCCTTATGCCTGGCAAGACTTGAAGCTCTCCTTGCTGCATGGCGAAGCTGCCTCAAGCACTGACATGGAAAGTTAGCACTGGGAGGTGATTGTGTACTTATGGTTTAGGATGATTCTGCCGCACTGGAGCTCTTGTGAAGCACTCCTGTCTGGAAAGAGCTGACTGGCTTGAGCACGGCACCCAAGTTGGTGTCATACGCGAGCTTTGGCAAGGATGCCAAGAGCTGCAAATACTCTTCGACCTTTGATTTCCATAGAGTCCGTTTCCGTTAGTAGCATCCAAGAAATCCTTGCGCTGGGAGCAGAGCTTTCTGACCAGGTCTGAGCTTGGAATTGTCCTCACATGAAGCAGAGTCTCCTACATGTCTTGAAGCATAGAGAGATTGCACCGAAGTCCTGGAACGGGGCTTCAGCAGAACGCATGAACACACCTGGACTCGACACAATCCAGGAGTCCAGAGTTTTCATGCCTATCTCTGTCGTGGGGGCACACGCCCCCCCCCCCCCCCACTCGCCAAGTCAGCCATATCACCCTACTTGCGGATTCCGGTATTCCATCTTGCTAGAAGTTTCACCGCATTGTTCAGTAGACACTTGGTACCCCTCCCGTCCCTCAAAATTCAGCATGTCGCCATGGCCGCATTCCGATGCCACTCCCCGCCTTTGATACTTTCAGGCTTCAGCGGAAACCCAGCTGCCGTGGTCCCCTGCGGCTCTTCCATCTCCTCCGTCTTCTTGATCTTTTGGGTCTGGCTTCCGCTTGCTCGCCTCCCTTGTTTAGTTGCCACGATAGTTTTCCTGTTGCCCCTCTCTGGGAAGGGCAGATGACTGACGGGAACGTCATTTGTGTTTTGTCGTTGCCGACTGCCACCTCGTGTCACAGAGATGCAGTAGACCAATCCGACGGGTTCGATGACTGACGCATCCCTTCAGGCGGCCTGGACGAACTTCTGTCCAAGAGCTGGCAGCGGCCTTGTCACCCCAGTTAAGCCGTGTCCCAAATTTGTGCTCAGGATCTCTTTAACAGCCAAGCCTCGCACCCCTGAACTGCTGCCTTTGGAAAGTGACGCGATGGCCACCACGGCTTCAAGCGCGGCTGAGGCTTGGCTACCTGAGGACGACACATCAGGACAGCATATTCTGAAAGGATTCACCAACCGTGGAGGCCTCCTTGGCGTAGCCATCGGGCCAGATTCGTGCGCTCCTTCTTCTCTTCACAGCTTCGTACATCGTTGGTACATCTCACAGGCGACTGACCCCTTTGTCGTCAGCTTGCCAATGCAGAAAGACAGGGCAAAGTCGGCTTGGAAGGCTTCAAGGGATCGTTAAGGTTTGAAACTTTGCCACAGGCTTCCGGCCTGCCTGTAAACCCTCGTCGAAAGAGAGCGCATGTGCAAGGGCATCCCTATGCTCTGAAGCCGGCGCCAAGAAAGCCCGTCCTCTGCAAGGATCGCGAACATCTCGCAAGCAGAGCCTCCTCCCATGGGATCCTCCGAGACAAAGGCTGCACAAGGTTCGATTGTCAGTGTCTAGCAGGTCCTGCTCTGCACCAGGCCTGGCAACTCTGGGCCCGCTAAGATCCGCTAAGGCTTTGGTTTCAGCAGGGTGGGATGCTCCGAGCACCGGACAGCTGTCCCGATCCAGTGCGAACCATGGGCGATGCGTGGCCTGGGAGTGAGAGTGATGCGGCGAGGCAGGCTCTGAGCAGAAACTAAGCTTCAAGCTCTCACTGAAAGAACTACGCCCTTCGCTCCTTTCAAAGACCTGTGCTCGAAGTGCAAAGGCAAGGGAGCTTCTGTTGCAAGCGCAAGGACCCGGGACCAGCACTGCATCCAGGCCGTGCATCGACATCCTGGCCCACGCAAGCCAGGTGACGGTCACTGCTGCCTCACATCGAATGTAAGGAATCTAAGTGATGCCGGCGGGGCAGCAGCTGCGAGGCCAAAAGTGCCACCGGAGCTTCAGCCTCGATGCTCCGTCTGTGGAAACTGCAAGCTTTTTCGTGAAAACGTGAACCAATCCATGCCTCGCCCCAGCCAAGGCAGGACCTCGTCAGAACCGAGCTTGACCGATCGGATGGCTTCTTTCATTACATGGCCTGGCGGGCTCAGGGTTGGGCTTTGCAGAACATCTCAGGCCAGTGCTGAAGCATGGCGAGATGAGACCAAACGGCACAGGCCAGCGCAGCCTCCAAGGCACCCAGCCATTCCGCTACATCCGACTGGCAATCGAAGCGGCCTTGCCATGCTCCGCCGCTTCAGTCGCCCATCGCTGGAGGACTTTCCTCACACGGTAAGTCGCACAAGCAATCGGCGAAAACACAGGTGTACTCCAACCTGGAGGCTAGCAGCTGCTTCTTGAGTGGATCCACGGCAGCCTCTCGGATTGGAAGAAGTGTTTTGTTCATGGCATCTGTCTTCACAGTCTTCAGCTTTGCCCTGCCTCCACTGACGGCCGGCCCGCACCAAGTGCTATCGCGACTGCCAAAGAGCCCGCACCTTCGGACCTGATCTTCCAAGGTACAAGGTTTTGTGACCTGTGATTCCATGTTGATTCCATGAAGGGATGCAGTTTAGGTCACGAGGAGGATCTGCAAGGCCGCTCAATACCCAAGCCCCGCACTCCAAAAGCGCCTTCGCCTGAATCCGACTGACGCGGACGTGGCTGAGGACGGAATGCAAGGCCAGACTTGTGCAGAGAAAGTGCATGCTGAGCGTGCGCTGGTTAGTTGAGGCTGGCACGAAAGAGAAGATTCTGCAGCCCATCCGAATCGCCTCACTTAACAGGAGGAGGCCGAGTCTTGCTCTTGTCTGTGAAAGCTCCTGAGGGTCGTGCAAAGAGGATAAGACCAATGGGAGCCGCTGCAGCCTGGCAGAGAATCGATATGCACAGAATTGGACCTTTGATGACTCTTGACAAAAAATCTGCGGAGAAAACGAGCTCGAGGAGCTCTGCCCGTGTCACGCTCGAGGGCGCTTTGGAGCAAGGCTGCAGCCCCGGCCCTTGGACACAGGAGAAGTGTGACAAGGTGGAGGAATTTTCTGAGAACCCATGTTCATGGTGCTGGTCTTGGTCTTATGCCAGCCGAAGCCTGTGTTTTCTGCATGTCTGGGACATGGACAACGTCGGGCGGGGTGCGTTGCACAGCCTGCACTCGTCTTACCATGATGAATGAAATAGACTTGGTGCACGAAAGCTTGCCGAAGGTGGCCCGAGGACAAGGCTCGTTGATCAAAAGGCCACATGGAGTGGCCAAATGAGAACGGGTTGGAGCCTGTCTGGAAGAGCAAGCAGACTTAATTAACCCCTAGACTCATGCTCTGCCCCAGCAAAAGAGTAAAGATGGGTGCCGCGCTGGAATTGCCTGCCAGACAGGCTTGATAAGTTATGGTAGACTGCAGCCTGGACTATCTGCGCTGTACTAAAGTTACTAAAACTCAGCTTCGACCGAGCAGACCATGAGTTCTGTCCCAGCTGATGGCATTCCTGTCCTGTTCATCACTTGACCGTTGGACTGCCATAGGCATCAAGAAAGGGTCCAGCATGGATTGGCTCCAACCGCGGAGCGGGCATAAGGGTCTGAGGTGCAACATGGTGCAACGCACAAGTCGCTTCAGGGCCGGTGGTGCCTTTGAAGTGTTCCCCGATGAATGCACTTCTCACTTTTGGGGTGTGTTTTGTGTCGATGCTCGGCAAAGTCTCGGCAAAGTCCGCTGGCTTTCTCTTACTGTACTCCCCGTGGATCCTTCCCGCCTCAGGGATCTCCGGAGGCCGCGTGGAGGACCGCCAGGGGCCCGGTTCGAAGACCGCCGCCTCCAGGACGCCCTGCAGAAGTCCAAGCGCTTTGCGTGTTTTTTGTGGGACAGGGCGTCGACTTCCTTGTGATCATGACATGCGCTCCAGCTACCGGGTTCCTAGGCCCTTCGGATCTACACTGTGGATACTGCACGGAGAAGATATCGGTTCTCCTTGCCGTGCCTGTAGGCGCTCGTCTGCCAACGCGCCGACGCGCTCGGATGTTCCCAGGTAGCCCAACAGGAGCGGTATTCGAAGGTAGGGAGCAAGCCTTGAGCCGTGGAGATGCGTTCGCACACATTCTAGACTGCATTCTACAGTACGGCAGGAGGATGCGAGGAACAACTGAGCTAATCGCAACATTGTCAGTACGACCTCCGCTTCCTTTAGGCGAAAGCAGCTAGAACGGCGATTCTTGGCGCGGTGGGGCGCTAGTTCTCCTCTTGGCTTCTGGCGGAAGGTGACAAGCCTTCAAAAGCTCGAAGCTTCGATGATGGGAGGAAGAGGACATCCTTGCAGTACCGGCCAGGACTTAGGTCCTTGAAAGGCGGGGAGCAAACAAAAGCATCGTCCTCTTCACTCCGCAGCTTCTCACCAACCAGTGCACCGGGATCTGCCTGGCAGCTTCTTAGGAGTCGTCGTCGTCGTTACAAGTCTTTGCTGTCCATTCCACAAATCACAGAGGCCTGCGACGCGGCTGCACTTCGCCTTGTGAGCTTGTCAACTTGTCACTACTTGAGGCACACGCATGGTATGTCCCTAGCTGTGCATGCAGTGTGAGAGGCTGCAAGGCCACCGGCCTCACCGCTGACTCATCCAATTGTCGCTCCAAGATGCGGACCGCTCTGCACCCGTCAGGCCAAGCAGGCCCTTCTTCATTCTGGCCAGCACGCCCGATTGCTTGTCCTGGATCTTCGAAGATCGCACATCCATGCATCCATGATTGAAAGTATGTCCAAGCCTGTAAAGGTACTTCTGTCTTCATGTACATGGTTACATAGCCAGCGATTGCTCCTTAGAATTGGCCGCCCCCACTGGCAGCAACGCCTCCAAGACCTCAGCAGTCATCAGTCGGCTTATAGTTTTACTATACATCGTGAGGACGAAAGTTTTGACCTACTGGACCTTTTTTGTCTTAAGACATCTTGCGGAGTAGCGGAGTACCGACAAGTGCGATTTACGTCCTGGCCGGCGGAGTATTTTATACCCCGTTTTGAAATTATACGCCGTC